TGCTGCCCTGGCCGAAAGGTCGGACAGGGACAGGATGCCCACAGCGAAGACCCCGAGGGCCCTGGGCAAGAAGAAAGAGAAGTCAGGGGTGGGTGTGCCGCGAGCCGTGGCTGGGCGGGGGGCGCTTCCGCGGAGCGCAGGCGGGGAGGAGGGCGGGGCCTGGGGGGGGCCCAGGGCAGGCCTGGGGGCCAGATCCGGCCATTCCCCCCAGCGAGCAGGGCTTCCCCGGCGAGCAGGCCTCTCATCTCTCCTTGCGCCCCACAGGACGGGGTGAAGAAAGAGGAGAAGTCAGGGTCAGGGCAGTCACCCACACAGGGAGCGCCCAAGAAAGAAGACGCCACCAAGGCGGGCAAGGGGAGTAAGTGTCGCCGCCCGCCGGCGGCCCCTCCTTGCTGTCGGGGAAGGAAGAGCAGTGGGCAGGACGCGGGGCCCGTCCTCCTGGTGCCGGCCTCTCTGGGTCGTGTTTCCTTCCATTGGCAAGCCCCCCATCCTGCCCCATGTCCCCGGCCTGGACCCCCGTGGCATCGCCCTCAGGGAAGGGACCCAGCCACAGAGTTCTGTTCCCGTTGCGCCCGATCCCAAGGTTTGAGGAGCGTCCCTCCTCGCCCGGCCCGTTCCCTCTGGGGCCCCTGGGCGGTATGGCACGTCCGCGCGGTGCATCCTGGCTCGTCTCCCCGCTCCAGAGGTCACCATCCCCGAGCAGAAGCCGAGCAAGGGAAAGGGGCCTAAGACCGGGAACAAAGAGAAGCGCAGCTTCCTGCTGGAGTCCGAGGTAGGCTAGGGGAGCAGCGGGGGTGGTGGGGGGTGGGGAGTGGGGAAGGAGGGGGCCACGGTGGGGGGGTGTGGTGGGCAGCTGCGCCTTCCCTGCAGCCCCTCCTGGGGGGGGGGTCGCTCTGGCTTCCATTCGCGTCCTATCGTCCATGCGTGCCCCCCCATCCCCGCCGGGCTCGCTGGGCTGGGGGGCCCGTAGGAGCTCAGTTGCTCGCCTTTCCCTGTTGTCTCAACTCTCCCCACGCCCCCGGGGCCGCCAGTCACTTCCCCAGCTCTCCTCCGCTGGTGCGCTCCCCCTTCCTCCTCACCCCTGTCAGCAGCCCCCCAGGAAGGCAGGGCGTCTTTAGGGTCCTGGTGCCACCCCACCTGGGCACGGCTCCTGGAGACCCTCTCTTTTGTTACTGGAGCCTGCCTTCCCCCTTTCACCTCTGACCGGGCTTGCACCTTGCTCAGAAACTTCCCCGCAGCTGACCCCACAGCGCCCACCCGCCCCAGCCTTCTGCGGCCCCAGGTTCTGTGTCCTCACCTGTCTCAGTCAGGAGACCGCCCACCGCAGGCAGGGAGGGTCTCTCCTCTTGGAAGTCTCCTCCTCCCCCTCCTCGTCCTCCGAAGGCCCCGCCGGCCTGGGAGCACAGGCACCTGCTCCCGGAGGCTGTTCTGGGCTGCAGGCCTCCTCCGGGCTGCACGGACCCTGGCTTCTCTGTGTGTGTGTGTGGGGGGCGTTGCGTCACCCTGGCTCCCGGCTCACTTTCCAGGGTTGCTTCTGGGCGGTGCCGGCTCATCTCTGTCCCTGCAGCACTGAGGACAGAGAGCGCGGCGGTGCCCCTGGGCTCGCCTGCAGTGTTCTCCTGCTTTAGCAGCTGGTTGCCGAGCCTTCAGAGGTGGTTAGCCCTCTCCTGGAGCCTGTGGAGCACCGAGAGGGGAAAGTGTTCATGCCCGGGAACAAGGTCCTTTTGCACCTCAACCTCATCCGTATGTTTGCCGAGCACCCCTGTCGTCCTCCCCCAAGGCCACCTGGGCCCTGTGCAGCCGGAGGTGGGCGGCCCCGACTCCATGGAGCAGAACATGGTTGCGCCCCAGCTGGGCATCCTGAGGGTGGAGGCCGTTGTCCCGCACAGGGCTTGGGGTGAGAGCAGTTCAGGCGAGAGACGTGGGGGGGAGGACAGAGGCAGGAAGGCCAGAGGGGGAGTCAGAGGAGTGAGGGGAAGGGGCGGGGGGCCACCTGGGCCGCTCCCCCCACCAGGAAACCGCATCACCGAGGTGGGGCTGGAGGGCTTCCTGGCCACCGTGCAGCACCAGGCCCAGTTCTCCAAGTCCAAGAGCGCGGCCAAGGGCCCCGTGGGGCTGCTGTGCCTGTCACTGGCGGTGAGTCAGTCCCCTGCTCCCAAGCAGGTCTGGGGGCTCCCTCATGCCTTTCCCACAACCACCTCCACCGCTCTTGCTGCCGGACCAGCAGCGATGACCACCGCGCCTTTTCTCCGTGTCCCCCTGCCCCGCCCCACCCTGTCCCATCAAACTGTCTCCTCCCAGAGGGACTGATCCATATCCCTTTGTCGTCTGTCACCTTCCTTTCTCTCCTTCAGAAAAACTGCTTCTCCCTGCAATGTCCCACATACACCATGATCCAGGAGCTGATGCTGCCAAGGGACCCCATCAGTAAGGCCAAGCCCAGGGAGGAGGAAACCACGGCTTCCTCCACCTAGCCCCCTCCCCCTTCGTCCACAGCAGCTCTGCTCCCGGTGTGGTGGGCTGGCCTCCCTGGGGGAGAGCTCCAGTCGTTAACAAACTCTATCATCACTGTACTTTCTTTTCCCCTTGCGGTTGTCTGAAAACTGAGAACTACATGGAACTCAGTTTGGACTGAGTCTGTTCATGTCACGTGGCCTGAAGTGGCTGAAGGGCTTCGCAGCTCTGCTGGGGATGCAATTGGGCCCTCAAGTGGGGGCAGCCGGGGGCGGGGCACGACGCTCCCGCCTCTTCCCTGCCTCCTTGTCCCCGCCTTTGCTCTCTGCCTGAGCTCCCTGTAGGACAGGGGACGCGTCAGGGTCCGCGTTCAGCCTTTGGTCTCAGAGGCAGGCGGCGGGAAGACTGGGATTGTAAGCCACCTGCACAGGCCCAGCAGAGGGGGTGCAGGTGGGGTGGACAGGTGGGGCTCGGGCTCCACCACTCCAGGCCCCCACCTCTTCTGCGTCTGCCTGTTGGGCCCAGGCATCTGGTCACTTTGGAGGAGACGGGGACTCAGCTAAGGAACGCAGAGTTGGCAGGCTACTTCAGAGAGGGGAGAGGGTGCGAAGTCTCTCCGCATCAGCGGAGTGAAGGCCAAGCACCACGAAGCCCAATACCTTCGCCCCAGATGTTGGCAGTTTGAACCCAGCCCTGGCGGCAGGTGGGCCGGAGGAGCCTGGAGAGCGGGGGGCCTCCCCTGAGATCACCTATGGATGGGGCCCAGGGAGTACGGGGCTGGCCTCTGGAGAGTTTCCAGAGGCGTCCCTTCTGTCTTGGCATACCCCTGGGCCCATGGATATCCACTCCTGCTTGGGGCACTCCTTGCCCCAAACTCCCGCTCTGCAGGGCTCTGTGAGGCTCTGCAGGGCTCTGCGGGGGGGCTCAGGCCTCTCTGTGCCTCTGGGCACCCAGCTGCTGAGGAATGCAGGTCGCCCCCCCCCCCCCCCCCCGCGCCCCAGCACACTGCAGGCCCCTGGGGGGAGTGCCCGTGACTCTAGGCCCATGGCACGTGCTAGGTCTGGGAGGGAGCACAAGACAGAGCCGAAGGGAGTCTGTCCCCTGGTCCATCAATGAAGGCAGAGAGGCAGGAGCTCTGGGGGACACGGCTTCCGGGGGAGCTGTCAGGCCTGGTGTGACGGAGTGGAGGCTGAGACCAGTGAGGACCGGCCAGGCCTTTGACACGGCCCTCCCTGTTTTGTCTTTAAAGTTCTGGGGCTCATGGAAGGCAGCTGCTGAGGTCCCCCGACTCTGGGTCCACTGCCTGTTTCGATGGCATGGGTTCTGTGTCTTTTCCCGCTTTGGCCGTGGGGCCGTGTAACTTAGTCTGCCCGACGGCGGCTCAGTGAGCACACGTCACATGTCGGGAGCTCTGGGGGGCGTCTCTGGCCACAGTGGGGCCTGGGGGCTTGATGTCAGGGGTGGGGGCTGCCTTCTGTGCCCTCCACCCAATCCTGAGAACAACCACAGTATCTTTTGTCCGAGCAGTTCCAGAAATCACACGCACACCACCACGGTTGAAGAATATTTAACTTTTCTTAAAAAAAAAAAAAAAAAATCTTAACCATGAGAGAAAATAAAAGAGTATACATTATTTTAACAGGAAAACAGTCATTTCCATCTCTCTATTTTATATATTATATATATATTTATATATATGTATATATACACCTAGCACAGTGTGTGGGAAGAGGGCTGCCATGGGGACAGGGGCCAATACTGCCGGTGGCCCCTGGGGATGGTCCTGGGTTAATGTGGGGACTCCAGCATTCAAACCCCCTGCCCCACCTCCTGGGCCCAGTTTTCAGGGCCGTACCTGATACACTGGTTTTCTCTAGGGAGAGGGTGGGGAAGGGTGGACAGAGGTGGGGTCAGGAACACTCCCCCGAAGAGGACAAGTCTTGGCAGGGGAGAGGCTCTCAGCTAGGGCCACACAGGCTGGGCTCTCAGGCCAGGTGGGCCAGGGCACCTTCCTGCCCCTGGGCGACCCGGTGCTCAGGTCTGGCTTGGGCCCTGAGCCCGGAGCCGCCTGTTAACTAGGAGATGCGAGCTGGTCCTCTGGGCCTGCCTCCAGCACCCCAGGAACACAAACAAAACAGGTCAAAGTTATTTACAAAGCGAGATGCACATACAGTACATACATATTTATAGGAAACCAAAGTGACGAAGAAGGCAGAGGCGGAAGTACCCCACACCTCAGCCCTGGGGTCCTGTGGAGAAAAGGAGGGAGGAAGAAAGTGCATTTACACAGAGACTCCTCCTATCCCCTGTGTGTCTGGGGGGCCTTTCGGATGCAGTCAGCATGCTCAGGAGAGGCCTGGGGGGCTGCAGGGAGAGGAAGACACTGAAACTTGACCGGGACCTGAGCAGACCAAGCGACATGCGGGGCGCCCCCGGGGTCTCCGCTAGACCCGTCCTCCACGGCCTCCACCGCAGGGAGGAGGTCCAGACTCCCACAGCCCTGTGCCCCTGCCTCAGGCCAGTCCCCAGAGGAGGAATGGGGACAGTCACGGTCCTGGGGGTGAGGCTGCGTGCGCCGTGCTGTCTTCCAGGAGGGTGTCGGAACCTATGAGGCAGCAAGAGCCTAGTGAGGAGCTGGCCTTGGAGGGAGGACACCCCCAGCCTCCCCCCAAACACCCCCCCTCTGCGTTCGGGCTCATGAGAGCACCTCCTCCCGTGCATCCACCTGGAGCACCCATCTGGGGTCTCTCATGGGGCGTGCCGCACCCCACTCCGGTTCTGTCAGCCCCCCTCCCCTGGGCAGCTGCGTGCTGGCCCACTCATTAAGAGCAGGTTTTAGGTGGATGCCATCTCCATTATCTCTCTAATCCAAGGAAGGGTTCCCATTTTTAGGGGAGCTTCTGTGGGATTTCCCCGAAGATCCCTTTCTGAAGCTGAGGGTGTGACTTAACTGCACTCAGGGGGGATGAGGACCCCCACCCGCCCCCCATGGGTACCCAGAGGACATCGCCTTGCTCACCGTCCTCCGAGCACGGCCCTGGCTGGTGGCCATCCCTGGAGTTGGAGGCCAGGGCTTCCCTGGCTGGAGGTGACAAGGAGCTGTCTGTCCATCTAGCCGCCTCCGTGGGGAAACTGCCCACAGGCGTGGTGCCGCCCGACGACTCTCCCGCGAGGGACCCGAGCAGCTCTCTGTGGGCCAGCTCCATGTCCTGGGAGAGCAGCAGGGGAATGTGTGACCTTGGCCCTGTGTGGCAGGGCCCTGGGGGAGGGGCCAGGCCGCCGCTCCCTCGCCGGGCCCAGGGGTGGCTCTGTGCTCCAGGGCAGCTGTGGGGAGAGACCCGGCCGGAGGGCATGCCTCCCTCATGGGGCGATGGCTCTTGGGACAAGGGGCTGAAGGCCCCAAACCACCGCCCCGCCACCCACCCACCTTGAGCCTGTTGAGTTTGACGGTGAGCTGCTCGATGGTGCGGAAGATGCTGCCCACGTCCCTGAGGACCAGGCTGGACGGGGAGCGGCTGGGGTGCCGGAGACCTCCACTGCCTCCCCGAGGCTGCCAGGGAGGGAGGCCGTCGGGCTGGGAGGGCTCGGTGCTGGAGTCCGGGGGTCCTGCCGGCATGCTGACATAAAAGCAGTTCCCTGTCCCCGGGCAAGAGAAGGACGTCAGGAGGCGGACACAGAGGAAGTGGGAACCGCCTCCCATGCCCCCAGTGCTCCCCACACCGACCCGGGGGGCTGGGGATGCCATCCTGCGGACAAGCTCAGCTCACGCTGGCCTCACGCTGCCCACCCGTCCCCGAAAGGCCCTCCTTCTCCAGAAAGCCTTCTCGATGGCCCTTCTGCTCAGCTTGGCCTATGCGGGAGGGAAGATGCTCAGTGGTGGAGAATAAGGAGACGGGAGCACCTCCCAGTCCTTGAAGGAGTAGAGAGGGCGGCTGGTGGGAAAATGAGCACAGGGAGGCTCCTTCACGTCTGCCCCATCTCAAGCTCTGCCACGAGCCTCCACACAGCGCCCTGCCCCCCTGCCGTCTCCTGCAGGATCCCACAGGCCCCTGGGCTCACACGGGGTCAGCCACGGCGGGAGGGGAGGGGAGACACCAAGAACGTGGGGCTCCGGGCCCCTTGCACCTCCCGACCCTGTCTCAGGACTCAGCACCAACTAGTGTCCCGACTAGTGCCCGGGGCTCTCCCCTGGGGTCCAGAGAATGCACAGGGGAGCGCCCTGTGACTGCAGGCAGGGGTCAACTCCCAAAGCCTGGCTCTGCCCCCCGCAGGCCCCACACTCCAACCCTGGCCTGGTTCTGGCTCCAAGGGGAGGTCGTTACCAGCTGCCTCTGCTCCGCCTTCCACTTCAGGTGGCTCAGGCCCTGACTGGCCGCTCTCTGGGGGCACAGCCTTGCTGCCCACCACCTCAGCTGCACCAGCCGCCACCAGCCGCCGACACCACCAGGGAGAGCAGAGACCAGGAGAGCAGGGAAAGGGGAGGGGGAGCAGGGGAGGGGAGGGGGAGCAGGGGAGGGGGAACGGGAGAGGAGGGGGAGCAGGCAGGGCAGGCGAGGGGGGAACAGGGGAGAAGTGGGGGGCAGGAAGGCAGGCAAAGGCAGCAGGGGGAGAAAAAGAAGGGACAACAAAGTGAACACAGGTCGCACTGAAGATGCCCAGGGGGCTGCAGAAAAGCTGTCCACCGGTTCACCGAAGGGCAGAGAAGGAAGGTCAGTTCCCAGAAACCAGGAGAGGGGGCGCCTCGGGCAGACAGGGCGAGAAGTGCAGCGGAGGACGGGACCCTCCCCCGGCCCCCCGGGAGCACCTGCTTCACTCCATCCTTCCTGCTGGGGGACCCCCCCTCCCTCGGCTCGCCATCTGGACCCCCATCCCAGCTGCTCCTGGCTCTTCTGGCTTTGACACGGCCCACGGCCTCCCCCGGCCACGTCAGCTGGCCACGCACCCTCCCGGCTTGGTCGTGTGGCCCTCCCATGCCGCTGGGGCCCTCGGCGAGGCTGCGAGCATCTGCCCCGTGTCGGGTGTGAGCCCCCCCAGGAGAGCCACAGTTTCCTCAGGACACCGGTGGACAAGGCAGTGCTGACGTCCTCAGGCTACGGTCACGTTCAGGGTCACACAGACGCTAGGGGACGGGCTCTGAAGCCCGGTGGTCCGACCCCAAAGCCTCTGCGCAGCGTCAGCGTCCCCTCCCGGGCCCCGGCGCGAGCCTCTGCCCACACGGCCGGGAGGACGAGACGAGGCGTCCCGAAGACTCGCCTCCCACCTGGTAAGCCTGTCTCGTCTGGACGTCCCGATTTACTTTACCTTTTCTCACGACTTTGTAACTCCCTGCTGCCTTGGTGCTTGAGGCCTCTTCCTCCGGGTTCCTGTCCAGCTCGGGAGACTCCCAGACCCCAGAATTCCTGGCCCGGGGGGGCAGCCGCTCCAGGGGGCATAGAGCCGTGTCATCCTGCTCTGGTCCTTCACCCCCAGGGGGGGCGCACCACGGGGAGCCGGGGCCCGTGGGGTGACAGGTGCCGCTCACGAGAGATGGTGTAGGGGTGAGGTTGTCCTCGAGCTCACCGGCGGGCTGTGCTTCCAGGCGGTGACCTGGCAGCAGGCTCCACAGGATCAGGTGCCGCAGGCTCTCCACTGGAGGAGAAAGAGGAGGCTGGCTTCCCCGGCACGGGGCCCGGGGGTGGCCCGGGGGTGCTGCTCCCCCCGCCGACTCCCAACGTCACAGGGCGGAGCCGGTGGTGGGGACAGGGGGTCACCACGGTCTCCTCCAGGAGGCGCAGGGAGAGCCCTCTGGCAGGTGGAGGCTGCAGATGGAGGCTGCAGGTGTCAGCCAGGGCACCGGGCCGCCGGGCCTGCAGGCACTCACCGTCTTCCAGGGCTGAGTCGGCGAGCCCGTCCACGAACAGAGGAACAGGGAGGGGCAGGAGGATGGGGTCTCTCGTCCGGCCGCCCCTGTTCCCTCCATCCAGGGCTGCAGAGGGGTGAGGCAGGGCACCCAGCTCCTCCTCTAGGCTGCCCTCCTGCTCAGGATCCTCCAGCAGGGCCGGGTGCTTCCCCTTGGCCCTCGGCTGGGGCCCAGTGCCTGCTGCGGATGGGAGGGCAGCATAAGGCAGGGGAGGGAAGGCATGTGGGGGCCGACCCCATGCCTGGCTCTGGATTCGAGGGGCTAGAACCCTGAGACTGATTCATTCCACGGATGTTTACTGAGCACCTACTACGGCCAGACGCCATCCCAGGCTCTTGGCATACACCAGAAATAAAACAAGGATCCCCGCCCACGTGGAGCTTAAATTCTGGTCAGAAGACACTCAGTGAGCTCTCTGAGAAACACAGGTGGGCAGTGCTGTGGGAAAGCAGAGTGCAGGCCGGGGGTGGGGGTGGGCAGGAACGCTCTTTACACCGCCAATGGAGAGCCAGAGAAAGCACAGACCCAGAGAGAGCACAAAAGGAACCCAGATGTGGAGCCCGCCAGGAGATTTCTCTCTAAACCCAGGGTCCTACGTTCTTCCCTGGAGAAACTCTCAGTGAGATTCCTCTGTGGGACCCCTCGCCCTCCGCCAGCCCCATCCCAGGGACAGTGTCCCACGGGCATGTCATTCTCCACGGAAACCCCCAGCTGCAGAAAGCAGGGGCCCCTGGACTCCACCCCACTGCCCTTCTCCCTCCACGGCCAAATACCTGTCCTCAGAGAGCCAGGGTGGGAACCTCCATCCAAGTGAACTTGTCTATACTCACTCAGGTCCGTTCTCCTTCCCCTCCTGGACCCCCTTTTCTCCCTCACTTCTCTGTTCTTATGCAAACCTCACACTTCTGGCCCTGATGGCCTCTCCCATCACCTCCCGACTTGTCCTACCAACACTGGACCAAGGGGTTCCCGCAAAGACAGTTAAGGGGACATACCTCCGGGCAGCTCCCCGGGCTCTGGTTCACTGTGGAACACTTCTGAGCCATCCAGCCGGACCCTGAGGGAAAAAACCACCAGAGGTCACCCGCCAGGCTTCTGACTCTCTGCCAGCCAGGAGGGGTGAGGTCTTGGATGCTCCCTGGCCTCCTGCGTCAGAACGGGCCGTGAAGGCAGGTCTGTAAAGGGAGGTGTGAGGCTTCGGCACCTGACGTCAGTTGGCAACCTAGGGGGAAGGGTGGATGCCAGCCAGCTTCTCCTGGTCCCGATGGTATACCCCGCACCCCACCTCAGGCGTGGTCTCCAGGACAGGCAGGTCGGGGGAGAGCACACGGGACAGAGGGCAGGGGTGTGAAGGGCTCAGAGGCAGCAAACAGGTGGCCTACAGCGGGGATGACCAGGGCCCGTGGGTGAGCACCTGCTGGGTGTGGGGCTCTGGTGCGCTGGCTCCTGGGCACCCGGGGGTGGGGGATGGGCGAGCGCGGGGGCAGCTCCCGGGTGCCGGGTGGCGTTCCGCACGGCCTCCTCCAAGAGCTCCATCCATCTGTGGCTCGGCAGGAGCAGAGAGGGCTGGTGGTGAGAACGAGGCCGGGCCGTGCCCCCCCACCCCCGCTGCCAGCCACCTGCAGGCACCCCTCCCCGCACCGCCCAGCGGCTCCCGTGGTGGCGCGGGACTGGCCGCCACGTGCCACGGAACACTGGCCCTCTGCTGTGCTCTGGGCTAGGCACGGTCTAGTTCCTCACCTCCTCCCCACAAAGCCCGAGAGGCAGCAAGACCCACACTCCACAGAGGGGTCCTGACCCTGAGACACCGTCTGACTCAACCAGTCTGTGGTCTGAGTCATACCCCCTCATCAGCCGCCGCGAGGGAACACGGGGTGGGTGAGTGACTGCCCTGGAGGTGGGAGTCCGCCAGGAGCAGATGGAGGGAGGGAGCTTGGAGGGGAAGGAGGACCCCGAGGGCAGGGAGTGGGAAGAAGCGAGAAGAGCAAGGAGCGCTGGCGACACCGGACTCGGGCAAGGATGGCGGCCCCGGAGCCCCCTGCACCTGCCCTGTCCCCGCCGGCCCGCGCCCCGCTCACGGTGCGCCGCTCATACACACCGCCCTGGCCCCAAGGGGATGGCAGCTACACGTGGCCCCTCAATTCTCACGTGTTCTTGTCTGACGATGTCAGTGCCACCAGCTCGTAGATCTGGGGGGGGCCCAGCTTCGAGGTACAGATGATGAAGAAGGCCCGCTTGTCTGTGTGGGGAAGAGGCGGGGAGGGTCGGCGGGGGCGGCAGAGGCCAACAGCAGCCTCGGAGCCCTGACCCTCCACTTGGGACGAGGACCGCGGCAGGACACACACCGGGTCAGCGGACCATGCGAGACCCACCGCCAGGACAGCACTCGTGTGTCCCCTTCACAGCCACCCCCCTCCCTCCACTCCTACCAGTGAGGGTGGAAGGGCCAGGGGCGACGAAGCCCATCACCGCCCGCGACCCCCGGAGGCAGGGCAGGCATCGCCCCGAGGAAGAGACGGAGACAGTGAGCCCAGGGCCCTTTCCTGCCTCTGTCCCCCGGGCTGCCCCCCCCATCCCGGGCCACGTCTTCCGGCTCAGGGGGTCCGCGAGGGAGTGGGGAGCGTGGCCTCCAGGCTGCCGCCCCCCCACCCCCCAACCGTACCTGTGGCCACGGAGCGGATGAGCACGGCGTTGAGCTTGAGCACGGGGCTGAAGGTCTGCTTGCTGTCTGAGGAGCCTGCGGCCGTTTTGCTGTGACACTTGAGTAGCAGCTTCTCGTCCTGCTTCTGCAGCAGCACCAGGAGATCCTCCAGCAGCAGCACGTGGAGGTCTGCGGGGGGCGCGCCATCAGGAGCCCCCGGGGCCACGCAGGGCCGGAGGCCGTTGGGCAGTCTGCCCCCCCTGCCCCCCGTGGCCCCCTGGGTGTGCGCCCCAGTTCCCGTACACCTACCCAAGCTCTTATCCTTGCTGATCCTCCAGGTCAGGGGCCCCTCGTGGACCATCCTTCTCGCTGTAAGGTCCAGGCTCTGTAGGGCGACACCATCCATCCATCCATTCATTCAACCGCATGCGAGAACCGTCTAGGCGCCAGACGCCTGGCGGAGGAGCTGGGGGCCAGCGGCCAACAGGTGGCGGACTTTGCTCTGACGTTCCTGTCGGGGCTCCCCCCACCCGACCCCATCTTATACCCACCCCCAGCACCTCTGGTTCCAGCGTCCAGTCCCGCTGCTGGGGCTGTCTGCCTGGGTGTGCGCGGGGTCCCGCCGGGGCACCCCGTCCCAGACCGGCCCATGCCGCCTGCTCCGAGTCCCTCCCGGCCCTGGCTCTGCTCCCAGGGGTGCCCCAAGTGGGTGTGGGGGGCTGGCCGTGCTGGGCCTCCCACCTTGAACTCTGCCGCCAGGGGGTTGCTGGCCCTCTCCAAGGACGTGGTGTCCAGGCGCTTCTGGTAAGCCTCCAGCCGGTGCTGGTTCTCTGTCTGCTTCACCGCTTCGTTCACATACTTGAGGATTTCCCGGCACTGGTCCCGCGCCCGGCATAGCTTCTCATGCTCAGAGGTGCCACCTGCCAAGGGGGCAGAGGTGGCGGTTGGGGCTCCTGCCTGAGAAGCCTGTCAGAACCCGCTGTGCCTGGCAAGCCGGCAGGCATGGGCACAGGGCCGCCGCCTTGGCCTAACTGAGGACCTCGAACGGAGGGGTCCCTGTCACTAAGGGTCCTCGGTTCCAGACTGCTGCTCTCTGAAGGCAGCGACAGCTCTGGGGAATTGCCATCTAGACCACAACCAGCCCCAGGGACACAGGGGAGGCCCGGGGGCAATGACGGCCTCCGGGGTGCCACTCCATACCCGAACGCCAGCGCCCCAAATTCAAGGGCACGGAGGCATGCTCAGGACCCCAGGGGGCTGTACTTTTGGGCACCGCACAGAGGCGGTGTCCAGCAGGGGGACGGATGGGCACTGAATGCACCTCGGCCCCGGTGTGGGACCATGGTCACAGCGGAGTCCCTGCGTGCACCCGGACGCTTCCATCAGATCTGCCCTGGGGCCACACGCAGGCTGGAGCGGCCCTTCCCTCCTCCCATGGCCGAACACCTTGTCTTCTTCCTCAAAGCCCAGGAACAATCACTTTCTTTGAGACTGACCCTAACAAGGCCAGGACGAAGGCCCTGAAGACCAAAGGTGGTCAGTGCCAGAGCGGGGTCTGAGTGAGGCCATGTCCCCTGCGCCCTACCGTCTGTGTGCTTGAGGACGCTCTCCAGCAGCAGGGGATACTTGGTGAGCCGCTGTATCTCCGAGATGATTAGGTCTCTGAGTTGCAGCCGCCGGCACTGAGGGTGGCTCTCAGCCTCCTGGACGGACAGCAGTCAACCTGGTCAGGAGCTGGCCGACGGGCGCGGGGCCCGGAGGGGAGGGAAAATCCCACGTGGGTCCTGACCCCAGAGGGCAACTCCTTAAATGTTTAGGGCAAGGCGGGTGGGGGCAGGGAGAGAACCCAAGGAAGGGACGTGGCCAGACAGGCACCACTGAGTAGCTGCCGTGCCCATCTTAACGGACAAAGAGGCAGACATCCGCCTACAGGCCCAAGGGTACTAGGAGGTGAATGGGGCCTTCTGACCGCAAATCGGGGCTCGTTTCAGGGAGTGGCGGTCTGTCTCGAGAGCGGGCATGGGCCAGTGTTTCTGAGGCAGTGGCATGGGGCGTGGGGCGTGGGTGGGTATGGGGAGGCGCTGGGCCACCCCCAGAGTGGAGGAGAGGCCAGCGCACCTGCCCCAGGCGGGGGGCCAGGAGGGCCGTCCAGGAGGTCTCCGGTGACCCTGGCTCACCTTCCTGGCCGCGGACGCACCTGCATGAAGAGCTGGAAGCGGCTCTCCTTGCGCTGCTTGGTCTTGATGAGCCCCAGGGCGATGGACTGGTAGGAGCAGAACTGGGCAGCCACCTGCTGGAGCTCCTCCCGGGCAGGGCCGTCGAACTGTGGCACAAGGGACACCGCCCAGGCGTCGCACCCCTGCCCCCCATGCCAACCTCCACCACTCCTGCCGCCACGGGAAAGGGGACCCATCTCCTCCCGGCGTACCCGAGCCAGCATGAGATCACCGATGTCTTTGATAATAGGGCCCTCCTCCCGGAGCTTCCTCATGGCCTCGCACCAGGAATCTGGGGCAGAGAGAAGGGACACAGAAGGAATCTGGGGTGGAGCTGTGCTGCCGGGCCCTCCACGACCAGAGCGGGGGGGCTTGTGGCAGCAGTGCTGGGAGGGTTAAGGGTTTGGCGGGGGGGAGGATGCTGGTTTGCAGGCCAGGGAGAGCTGGTGAGGGTCGTCTGCTCAGGGAGGCCCTGGCGTGGGGGCGGACCGGGGACAGAGACCCGAAGGCTAGCTGGAGTGTGTGTGTTGGGGGGACAGCGGGCGGGGAGGATGAGCCCCTCACTGTGGATTTCGATGAGCTCAGGCAAGTTGGGGAAGAGCCGGGCGAGCTCGTCCCGGGGCATCAGGTTCTCCTTCTTCATCCGCTGGTAGAAGATCAGGTCGAGGACCCGGAGCGTGCGCAGGTGGGACGCTTCCGTCACAAACAGCTCTAAGCGCGGTCCCGCAGGATGGGGGGAGGACAGAGCAGGGAGGTCAGCAGTTATCCCCAGTGACGACCGTCACCCCAAACCCCCTCACTTCTGAGGCGATGGAGCACTGGTGTCTGAAGGTCCAGCAACATAGCCACCCCCAGGGCAGGAACGGTGACGCGGACCTGGTCCCCCCCCCCCCCCCCGCCGCCCGATTTACTCCCTGCCGAGCGCAAGGTGCACACCCTCACCGTTGATGACCTCCTGCCGGTCAATCTCCCTCTGGCTTAGCCCGGCCACCACGTCCTTGCCCACTGTGTGCTGCCAGTTTTGGGCGTCCAGCTCTGGCTCCAGGTCCGACAGCTGGCCCAGGTCATCCTCCAGGAGGTGGGGGAGGAGGGCATCTGTGCAGAAGCCCAGGCTGGGGGACTCAATGCTCCTGGGGCAAAGGGGGCAGCTTCATGAGGAGGAAGGACACACACGAGGGGTTTGTGCCCCCCGCCTGCCCCGTGCCCATGGGGAACCAGCGGCCGTGGAGACGAGAGGCATGCCCCACCAGCCGCTCAGGGGTGGGAGCGCACGGCCGGGACGCCTCACTCACCTGCGGCCCATTTTGGGGGTGAAGGGAGGGGTTGGGTTCTCCAGAGACCTGTGGAGAAAAGTCAGCTCTCATCACCCGCTGCCCGCCCCGCCCCGGCCCCGAGGCCCCCCGGCTGCCCGGGGCCCCCAGCTGCCCGAGCCCCCCCAGCTGCCCGAGCCCCCGCCACCTGGTGGAGAGGCTGGAGGCAGAGGACGAGGCTGACTGGTGGAGGCGGGCGGCCTCTGCGGCCGCATCCATATCCACATCACTGCGAGAGCGGGGCACGTTCTCCGCCTTCCGGGACCGCTTCATCTCTTCCCGGCCCTTCAGGCTCTCAGAGCGGCCCAGGCGGATCTCTGAGCGGGAGCTGGGGGAGCAGGGCAAGAGACCCTGGGATCTTACAGCCTGGACGGCTATTAACTGCTGCCCTGACTCAGAGGTCCTCCCCCCGCCCCTGCAGGGCCTGAACTTCCCAGGGACAACTCCCACCGTTGCCCTACAGCCTCCCGCCTCTGCTCAGCCTCTCATCCTCCCCGTGACCCATCAGGAAGGTGAAATCCGGGACCAACAGACCAGACTTGTGCTGTGTACAGACGCCAAAGACCCCACACCCGCCAGGACAGCTGTGGACACCAGAGGCCCTGCTCCTGGGCCGTGTGCCGGCCAGTCCCTCTCGCCCTCGGCTCCGGAGCAGGTCAGCCCCCGCCGCAGACTCCGCTCTCCTTTTACAGGACTTCCTACCAGGGAGGCGTAGGGGCCACCCGCTCACTCTCGTGCTGGCCTCCTCACTGGCAGGCCTGGCGAAGGTCTACCCGCCGCCGGGCTCCGGCTTCAGCCGCGGCGTGGGGTCTCCCATTCCTATCCTGTTGCACACTTCCTGGCTTGCACTCCCCCTCCTGGGGACCGGCCGGCTCGGGGGGGGGGCCTGGCTCCTGACTGGCAGGAAGCTGCCCCCCCGCTGCCACGTCTGGCCACCGTGTGTCTCTGGGCCTTGAGAGCCTGATGGCCGGTGCCACTCCTGTCTGCGCCCTGCAGAGCACGGTGACAATGGCACCTCTGACCCTGGCTGCCCCCGGATGGTGCCTCCCTGCGCAGGCCTGCTGACGTCATCACTTACGTACATCCCACCCTGCGCGTAGGACCATGGACGGCCTGGAGAGCGCGGCAGGCTGCCGCAGAGGAGCCAAGCGGCTCGGTCTCTGTCCACTGCGTCTCTCTGAACTGCCCAAGACCCAAGCGCAGCCGCCCCGGGGTCCTGAGGGTTAGAAGCCCCGCGGCCTTCTCCTCAGAACACCCCCTGCGGCCTGTTAGAGCGCCTCCGACCGAGTCTGCCAACAGCACCCGCACCAGTGTCCACAACGGGCCGCCTGGCGAGCTCCTGCGCTGAGCCTCCCAGTCCCCACGGGTGAGGAGTGGGGGGCACACCCTCTGCTGGGCCCCAGTCCCTAGAACACTGCCTTCTGGAACTGCGGGTCCCTTTCATCTGCCGACCCCTGCCCCCACGGTGCTGCTGAGAGGGCCGGCAAGCTGACCGTCAGCCAGGCCGAGGGCTGCCGCTGACCGTGGACTCAGGAGCCTAGTGAGTGCCTCGGGGCCCGGTTTGTTACCTGGCAACTTCAAGAACACAAGTTTGCAAAAGGCCTCACCTTATTCTCAAAATGTTGATGTTACGTCTATGTAACCATTCGTTTGATGCATCCGTGACATCAGGCCTACACGTCACATACTTTATACATTTAGTTCACTCGCTAATGTTAGAACTCAATCTCTCAGCTCAGAACAAACGTAACCTTCTGCTTCCCTTAAACCTCTGTCTGTTCTCACTACGGCAGTCTTCCCGCACGCACGCACGCAGCTTAGGGGCTCACTAGGAGCAGGAGTGACCTTGTGCGGGCAGGAACGGCAGACTCATGGTGTGATGATGGTTTTGGAGGTAAGATGGGTGACGACCCAGGCCGTTCCCTGGTGAGTGGGTGCGCGCCCGCTCAGGGGCTCAGGCTCAGATGCACACGTGTGTTATTTCTGCACATTGGGGACTACAGCTCGAGGGTGACCGAAGGAACGTGCTCAGAGCTTTCCGACCACAGGTGGCTTTCACTGAGAGCTGGCTGGAGAGTGTGAGACAGGACGGAACTGCTGTCCCACCACGGTTGAGAGCAAGTCCAAGAGCACACTTCCAGCCAGAGAAGGGTTCTCATTAGAACCCGGCCAAGATGGACAACATGCTTGCAGACCCCTCTTGTTCTTGAGAGGAGAAGAGCGGTTTGCTCCGACACGGCAGGACCCCATCTCCAGTGCTCTCCCTCACAGGCGCCACAACCGTCCTCGTGTGACCTCGCTATTTCCCAGGACCTCCCCCTGCCTCCCTGCCCCACGGTCTTTCTGGCCTTGTCACCTCCGGTGTCGGGACTAGCTGCTCTATTCCAGCACAGACGCTGCCTAGTAGCCCGGGTGAACTGGAGCAAATGCTAAGGGCAAGCAGTCCCTGGGCTGGGAGGTCAGGGGCCGGGCTCCGTCCTCCACTGGCCTGATCGCCAGCACACAGCATGTCCTTTCCTGACGACCCCCAGGCGGGGAGGCTGGGGGAGCGGTTGCGAGGTCTGCAGCGGAAACCTTACGGTCTAGGGGAGTGGACGAAGCAGCTGGGATCAACGCTGGCTGCAGACCCCGCCTGGGCTCCCCTCCTCGGGGAGGTGGCACCTGGCCCCCCTCACCTGTCGCTCTCCAGCAGGTCCTCAGGGAAGCTTCCGGTGGACAGCCGCTGTGTCCCAGGCTCTGGGGCATCATACGGCTGGTTGTTCTCAAAGTGCTGAATGATGTTCCTCACGTTGCCTGGTTTGACTGGAAGCAGAAAGACAATGAAGGGTACTCTGCTTTCTGTTCAGGGATGGTGTCCCAGGACCCTCGCTCCCACCTCGCCCAGAAGACAGAGCAATGAGCAAGCATGGATGACAGTAGCACTGGGCACAGGACCCGGAGACGCGGTGCTTGTCCTCTGGGCTAGCTCCTGGTCCTCTCCCACTGATGGGCAGAGCGGCCCGGGTGGCCACTCTCTCTCTCTTTCACATGTTTCTTGTTCAAAGAAACAGAGAGCAGGTAAGAAAGTCAAAAGGCTCACGTGATGCTCTGCAGAGGGGCTCTCCTCAAAGACAGTGAGCTCAGCTCCAGGGACCTCAGAACAGGAGCTGGGCTCCCAGGGCCGATGGGCCTGAGACCAACAGCAGAGCGAGGGGGGCTGGGAGGCGGGCAAGGCCCTGATCCTACCCACACTAACTGGGGTCCCACCTACGAAAACGTACACATCTCCCCAAATAGCCAAACTCGGCTTTTGTAAGAAAGCGTCCAGGCCAGAGGAAGTAGAACTAACTATCCTTTGGGCAGGCAGCTGGGGTAACAGTTTCACAGAACTGCGTGAGAGGGGGCTGTGAGGATGTGTTCGGACGAGGGGCTGCTACCGTCACCCCCACTCTGGGGACCAGGGCCACATCCGCCTGACCCAGGGTCAGCTATGCGACCACAGCCTGAGCAGTGCTGCTGGGCGACGGTGTGGGGCCCAGGAACACCCCGGGACAGGCGGCCATCAGCTGAGCCTCCGCTCCCCTCCTGTGGGCCACGTGTCCTCGGCATGTAGCTGCACCCCAGTGAGGGGCGGGCGTGGTCTGGCAGCCAGCATAATTGAGTCAGGGTAACGGGAAAAACAGGTAGGAAGGAGCACAATTTGTTAAAACGAGCCCATTTTTCACTGGTGTCCTCTATCCCCCGTCCTCTGTTCTCCAGATGACAGGGAAACGGGAGAAGTAAACTCCATGTTATTAACAATCAGATACGGTCACTGTTAATCAGGGGTGACAGCTGATCACCCCAAATGGTCCAGTGCTCAGTGCTGGGGCATCTACCTCTGGGGGTGTGTGGCCTTCAGATGTGGATGCAGACTTTTCTGATATCCCGGGAACTCGAGAACACCAAACCCAATCCCTAAACTACTGTGGGAAGCTCTAGCTCGCGGAGCTGGTGGACGCCCAGGCCCCTCCCCTCCCCGGGCTAGGGCAGCTTGGTGGGCCGCTCACTCTCGGGCAGGGCGGATGGGAGGGGGTGTGTGGAAGAACTAAGGGCCTGGGAGTCAAGACCGTTCTTTTACTTTTCCACTGTTTTATAGGCCTTTTCTCAGAATTTGAAAGTGTTTCTAATTTAAAACAGCATAACGGGTTTAGGAAGTTAAAACTTTGAAATAATTTTGAAAATCATTATTTTCTGCCATCACTTTACATAAAATGATTTCTAGCGACTGGACAAGCTCCTGATTGCATCCTACAGCTCTTTCTCCAGAGACCCACTGCAAAACTAGACGGTACCAGTCACGTGACTGTATTCGTGGGGGCCGCACCCACGGCACCTGGGCTCACCCGCCTGGAGGCGCTCAGCCTCTTGGGGTTGACGCGGAGAACGTGGTTTTTCTGTGCTCAGAGCTCAGCCCCCTGCACGGTGGGGGCATTCTCTCTGACCGTCACAGTTACGCGGTGTGGTCCACGTTCAGAGTCAGGGGCAGGGAGAGGCCACACCGGAAGGCTTAAGCAGAGCAGGTGACAGACAATAAAAGGCCCCAGAGAACCGTTACAGACCGCTGTCTGCTAAAGAAAGCCCGCATAATCCTCAAAATGAGGATTTTGGTTATTATTTCAATGGAAACAAAAATCTGAGGAGCTCGTGCGGGACGTGGCCTCCCACGTGCACACAGAGCCCCGGACCTTGCAGAGGAAGGGAGAGAGAGAAAGAGCAGCGCCCGGGGAGGACCGTGTTGCAGGGCCGCTGGGGCAGCAAGGACGGACGGGCAGAGGAGGAGACACAGACCTGAGAGATGGAAACTCAAAGCTAAAGCAAAGAAAAACCCACAGAAAATGGTCCTTTTACCTTCCACAGGGGACAAGGGAATATGAAATGCTAAAAGAAAACAAACAAAAACAAAAGTAAACCATGAAAAGTCAAATTAATGTTTCAAGACTCAAAACAAAACTTACACCAAGCTGGAAAATGAAAAGGTAGTGGCAAAACTCAGGTCTGATAGAGAAGAGTGCCCCCCAACCCCCCCCCCTTCCCCAGCAGCAATTTCAGAAAAGGCTGCCGGCCCACACCAGGGCCCTTCCCAGATTCCCAAGACTCATGCTGGGGGTTGAGGATACTGACTGGGGACCAGCGGCAAGTTCCAGACCAACGACAGAGCCGGGAAGACCGGTGACCGGCCCACCCGAGCTCCGGGTAAGCGGCAGCAGCAGGGGGGCCTCTGGGCCCCAACCCTGCCCCCATCCGCCTAGCTCTGCTGCATGGTCACTCGGACATGTCGCCGAGGGCCTGCACGTGCTCCCCACACCCCCCCGGGGCACGGACAAGCCCACTGGAGAAGGTGAAGGGGGCATCTACTGCCGACAGAGCTTGCCGCGGGGGGAATGTTCCTCTGTGTGGTTGTTCCCGCAACAGGCTCTGAGTTCCTAGACTCAGGCCCAGGCAGCGGCACGGCCTCCTGGTCCCTGTCTCTGGAGGAGCCCACACACGTGCGACAGGGGAGACTAAGCGGCCCTGACAGGAAGCGGCGTGTGGGCCCGTGGCAGCGCCCCCGACTCACTGCTCTGCGGAGAGCTCTTGGGCTTCCCGATGTACTTGAGGATAGGGTTTCGCCTCTTGTCCTCCAAGGCGTCCTTGTCTTTTTTGGAGTTGCTGCTCTGCTGAGACAAGAGACATGGGCTTCGGAGAAGGTCCCAATCCCCAGACGTGGCTGCTGGCCCCAAGACCCTCCCCAAATAACTAACTAGAAGGCAGACTCCTGCCTGTTCCTGAGCCAGCACAGGTGCTTCTGGCCCGGGTCTGAGCTAGTCTGCGGGTTCTCACGGACGCCCCTGTGAAGGCAGTGGGGGTCAAGTGCAGTGACGGAGGGGCTTTCCCAGGCTGCCCCCCTGCAGAGAAGCGCACCAGAAGATACTGTCGAGATAGCTCTGTCACCTTCTTGGTCTTTGGGAAGAAGGGCAGCCACTTGTCCTTGTCAGGGGCTGCCTGGGCCTTTTCAGCTGTGCCGGAAGGCCGTGCCTCTCGGAGACGGAGCCCAGCGTGGCTCATGTAGGTATTGAGGACGAATTCCATGGGGGTGCTGCGAGAGAGGGGGCGGGCGTGGGCAGAGCGCTTGAGCTGTCCTCACCACCCAGGCGGTGGTCTCCGAGCAGCAGCGGCCTGGACCCCATGACCCCGCTGTGACCAGGGCTACACTCAGACTGTGACCCCCGATGCTAGGGGCCCCCCTGTGACTGGAGGATGGCCGGCACACCGCATACTCACCTCCTGTCCTCCTCGTACTTGGACCTGGAACAAAAGAAAGGAGAGATGACTCGCACTGTGGGGCACAGGTGTGTCCACCGCGCACACACGGAGGATGGGGGCCGCGGGGGAGGGAGGCTGGGCCTTGACTCTTGGTCTCAGCTCCGAGCCAGCGTGGGGCCCAGGAGGTGAAAGCCTTCACTCCCCTGGGGGCCTCCGCACAGCGACGGTGATGTCCTTCCAGCTGAAAGAAAGGGGATGCGGCAAACACGGCCTTGGGAGGTATTATGGAGGAAGGGGCTCGTGCAGTGCCCTGCTGAAGGAGGACAGAAGGTCGCACCCTGAGACCAGATCCAGGGGAGCCTATTTACCAGGCAAACGGTAACAGCAACGGACGCTAGAGAGTGCGCTACCTGCCAGGCACCACTCGACACGTATTAACTCGTCGAATTCTCGAACAGCGCATGAGTAGATACCAGATCTTGTGAGACCGAAGCTTCCCGGCTTCACCCCATCAAAGCGGGTGACCACGCTGCCGGTGATAACGCCACGTGACTCTTGGGCGTTAGGATCTCAGAACAAGCACAGGCTGGTGTTGTGCTCACCCTTGGAGCGGTCGGGCTGATTCCTGCCATCAGACCGCTAGGGAAACTGAGGCCCAGAAAGGTCCAAGGCTTAGCTCAAGGCCAGGGGGCTGTTTCCAAGAATATGCCCCCCGTGTGCTCTGATCCGTTGCAAGACCATCCCTGAGGCCGCGTCCCGGAACCTTCAGGGTGCGGTCTGACATGGGGCTCCGACTGGCTACTGCGAACTGCCCTGCACACAGCCCCCCGGTCTCGGCTGATGGCACCTTGTCTTTCCAGCGGCTCAGGCACAAACTGCAGAGTCTTCCCCGACTTTTCTCTCTCCCACAACCCACACTCAGTTTTTAGGAAATGCCTGTTTGCTTTACCATCAAAATACCCCTGGGACTGACCACTTTTCACTGCATCCTTTGTCCCAGCCCCTACCACGTGGGTTCCTGTGCAACCCCTTGCCTGGGACTCTCTCTTGCTCCCTACCACCCTCCACCCACAGCCCAGCCCCACTCCTGCCTCCCCATCTGTCTGTCTGTCCATCCATACAAGCGTTCTCAGGCTCTGTGGCCGCCCTCCCATCACCTCTGAGGTCAGCACAGACCTTCTCGACGTGCTCTGGCCAAGCTGCCCTCTGCTGCCCCCAAATGCCAAGCAGGCGCGTACCCTGCCCTGCTGCCCTCTGCCTGCGATGCTCTTCTCCCAGATGTCGGCGAGGGCAACGACCCCACTTCCTTCAGGTGCTCTAGTGTTACTCTCTGGGTGCGGCTTGCCCTGACCTCGCTATTTAAATCTGCCACGCACCAGCTCTGTGCCCTGGACCACTTCCTTCGGCCTGCTGTCTCCCCCTCATCTCGAACATGTTATAGATCTTGTTTATTTATCAAATGCTGCCTTCCCTTCCCGCTACGTCAGCACCATGGGAACTGCTGTTTTGCTCACGAACACATCCCAGGAGCCTAGAACAGACTCCATAAATCTCGCGATATGGAATGACAGCATGAACAGACTATGGAGATGTCTTGTCCGCTTTTGTCATTTTATAGCTGAGACCAAGGTCACACACGATGAAGCCTGACATGTGCCCAGAGTCACGTGGGTGACGCCGGGAGGACGGCCCGGAGAGCCGCAGCCCCTGTGCCGCGAGCTCCTTCCTCGGAGAGTTAGGCATCTTCTGATGCTGTCAGTTAAATACGGCCCACCCTCCGTCTGCCAGCTCATCTGCCTCCTGAAGGCAGCACCCATGGCAGACCTGCGGTGTGGCCCTCCCGCCGGTGTCCACGGGACATCCAGGCAGGAGGCAAAGTGGGCGGGAAGAGGGCTCCTAACGCCTGAGTCCCCATGGGCAGCCCCGGGTCCTGCACCTCGCGTGGAGTGCCGCACTCTCCCTGTCCTTCAGGGGAAGGAGGGCTGGCAGGCGTGGAGGGGAGACATCGGGGGACAGGCCCACGAGCGTATCTGTTCCGCACTCACAGAATGTCTGCCAGGGCGGCCAGCTGCTTCTCGGCCACTTGGCGCTCTCGGACAGGATCCCCGTCCAGGTCCAGCAGGTCATTTTCTCCATACAGACTGCCAAGCCCCAGGGTGCGCTTTGTTCTAAGCCAGAGAGAGAGACAAACGTACACAGATGCCCGGCAGAGGCCCAGAAGCAGCGGGGCGCGTGCACATGCACGGGAGACATGGGGGCCAGCAGGTGGGCAGGCAGAGGGGGCGGCGGGCCGGCACCTGTAGTCCTGGATCTGCTCCTGGATCTCGGGCATGGCCGCCTCCTGAGCTTCACGGAGCACGGCGCGGACGTCCTCATTGCCGCGCAGACGCAAGTCTGGTGGGAACCCAGGGAAGACACAAACGGGGTGTCGGGAGGAGGGGGCCGCACCTGTGGAGCCCCCTGTGGCGTGGAGGGAGGCTGGCTTTCCACCCTCCGGTGAGCCAAGGGAGGTGGAGGCCTGGACCCAGCCAGTCACTCCTGAATCCAAGACTGGAGCCCTGCTGTCCGGCTCCCAAGGCGAGGACAGGACACCTGGGAGTTCCAGACTCCATGACGTGGAAGGACCTTAAAGCCCTCCCTGCTGTCAGATGTGCCGGGGGCTGCCCTCTGCCGGCACAGTGGCAACCTCTCCTTCTCGGTGGCCGCCCGGCAAGCACCTCATGTGACTCTGGACGGAGTCCGTCCTGTCCCTGCAGCAGCGTCACGCGGGCGAGGACCAGTGTCCGCCCAGCTCTGTTCACCCCCTGGCCGTGGGACACCTATCCTCCCAAGCGGCCTGGGACCTGCTCCTCAGGCTGACGCCCTCTTATGCTGCCTTCCCTCAGCTCTTCTACTCACGACCTGAGAGCGAGAGGGAACGGAGCGACCAGCCAGCAGGCCGGGTCCTCACTGGACCAGCTGCTCTGGGATCAGTGAGGAACTTACAGAAACAAGAATGCTCCGCAGATCCCGACCCTGAAGTGGGACGGAGTAGGCCCTGGTTTCTGGATTTTTCAGAGTTCCTCAGGGATTCTGAGGATTGGCCAGGCTTAGGAATCCCTCAAGTCCAACCACCCCTTGGTACAGACGGCCCCGCAGGGCCCAGGAAGGCCCCGGGGACGGCTGGCGGAAACAAGCGCATGTCTCACGGGGTCACGTCTTCCCTTCCTGGGACAAGCTCCCCAGGCAGCACCTGTCCTGTGGTTGCTTGTCCACCAGCCACCTCTCCCTCCTAGAGGAAGGGGTGCCCAAGGACGGGCTATGCGCCCCCTGCTCTGGAAGCCCCCAGGGCCCAGGACGAGACTAAGTGGCCCATGAGCTGACTTACCAATTTCAGCCTGTAACACCTCTGGGACCTTCACTCTCAGCGGCTAGAAGAGGGGAGTGGGGGCAGGCGGTGAGACCCACAGCCCAGGGCACGTGGGAGATGTTGCCCCGCGGCTAGGAAGGCCTCCCAACACCCCCTTGTCTCCTTCCCCGACACCTGCCGCCCGTCCTCCCCTCTCTCTCCTTGTAAGCCTGCACACGAGGTTACGGCATTTGGGAAATGGAATCTGAAGCCACAGGGCCAGCAGGCCATCTTCTGGGGCAGCTCATGTGGGTTTACGGGTTCCCCACTGCCGCTGACTCAGCAGCAATGCAGAAATGTCACTGGGCCCTCTCCTCTGCTCCCTGCTGTGGCCGAGCGTCCCAGTAAGCACGGAGCACAAGGACCTGGCAGTGGGGACAGGCTGAGTCCACCACCCCTACAGGGCCACCCCTCCTCCAGACCCACACAACAGGACAGGCATGGAAGTCCTGGGGAACACAGCACTCATTAATCCCACGAGCTTACGCTGTGGAACTGAAAGTCACTTGGGCGTTAGCATAGCTGGTCAGACTGCAGGCCCACAATGTCCTGTGCGGGTGGGCACCGCCGTGGCCCTGTCCACATGCACGGCACTCCTCTGCCCCCACACTCCAGGCCTCCTCCCTGCGAACCCTGCTTTGGGCAGGATCCCCAAGGGCGCTGAGTGTCAGAAACTTGGCTTCTCATCTGGCTCACTGATCTTCACCACCATTGGGAGTCTCTGTGCCTGTGCTGCTTCGTCCCCCGATGGGCGGGCAGGGAGGGTTGGGGGGAGCCAGCACTGGTCGAGGGGGCAGGCAATGTGCCTTCTACCTTGCACACATGGAACGAAGGGGCGAAGGGGCCAGGACACGGGCTCAGGGTTGACAGCAGGGCCGCGAACAGGACGCAGGAGCCCTCAGCCCTGACTTCTCCTCAAAAACCTGTCTCCATCCGGCCTAAACGTGTGGCTTCATTTTCCCTCTGCTCCCAAGTGGCCCTAAGAGTCCAATAAAACTGTAATTCAATCCGTGAATGCCTTACCGCATTTTTCTCTAGGAAAATATTCCAGATGTCTTTTCCCAAGCCACGGGAATCCTTGGGGTTTGTCTGCTGGTAAACCTCTGTGCACAAGTAGAAAAGCTAGGAGAGAGAACGGGTTAGAGCAGCAGTCCCCACGCCCCCACTCCGCGGAGCGGGATTCTGACCCCGGGGACACAGGCGGTGCCTGGAGCCATCTGTGACCCTTCTTGGGAGAGGTGCTGGGGCACCTGGCAGGCGCAGTCTCGTGACGCGGCTGAGAACGGAAGACGCACACGACAGCCCCCAGCAAGCAATCCTACAGTTCAACATGGCCATGCGGAGGCTGAGAAGCCCCGGCTTCGAGGTCCCGAACCCCCCGGTAGATCAGCACCAGCCTCGGCCCGGCAGCTTCCAGCACAGGCATCCTGGACTCTGCGTCCCCCCAGACCTGAGCCTTTGCCTCGTACTTGTTTGTTTCTTGTTTTCTAAGGGTTCGTGTCAGGTGCTCAGTGGGCACCTGCTGCGCGCATGATGTTGACCCTGGCTCCCGATGGCGGTCAGCCCCGCAGGAAAACAGCGGTCGGGGTCTTGTGAGGGACACAACATTCTCCTCTCTTGTCCATCTTTTCCTCTGAGCCCAGAGCAGCATGAGAAAAGCTGCTGAGGCTGGTGGTCCCGAGCCCCGTCTCCGCACACACCACCCCATCACCTCTGTCACCTCGCCCCTCTGCTGAGCCTCCCCACAGTAACGTCGCGGGTCTGCTATCCCCAGTGTTACCCTAGAGAGACCGTGTCCTCCGAGCGGACCGAGAACGGTGGCAGGTGTCCTGGCCTCACTCCTCCCCACACCACAGGCAGTTCCTCCTGCTAATCTTGCACCTTCTCGGCCCTGTCTCGGTCCCCAAGCTGCCTGCCGCTGCCCGCAGATCCGACTTCTCTTGAGAGCAGAGGCAGAAGCGAGGGCAGAAGCGGGCCTCAGTCAAGACGACGCTCCTGACTTACCAGCGGGCTCGGGTCGGCCTGAGAGAAGATGTAGCGCAGGAAAACGCCCAGGTGAGCTGGCCGTGCCTTCAGCTTCTCGAGGTCCTGGAAGATGATGTCGCTCTGCAGGGCAGAAGCGCGGGGGTGGCTGCCGTGTGTGGACGCAGGGCACAGGAGCACGGTCTGCTGCAGCTTGGCCCCCATGGCCCCCGCCGCCCCACACCGACAAGCTGCGGTGCCCACCCCGTGCCCCCTCACGGCCGCGGCGGCTCCAACTGCTTCCAGTCAACAGCAGCTGGTGTGACCGTGACGAAAGGAGAAAACCAGGAAACCGTTACCTCGTTGTTGAAATAACCCGGGTCATAATCTTCCTCTGGGCCAATAATTAAAGGCTTCGGGCTTTGGTCTGTGCCCTGGGGAGAGAGGCCGGTCACAGGGAGGAGAAGTTACGGGACAGGCGCCCCAGCCCTCCACGACACGCGTGTGGGGACGGCGCGGCAGGAAGGACCACACGGGTCTGGCGAACGTTGGCATCTCCCCACCTCCCCCAAATCTCAAGAGGCAAGAACCACGATTTCCACTTGTGGAAGTCAAGTGCTCCTGGGCGAGGCCGCCGGGGCACGTGTGCGCGGGCATGGGAAGCGAGAGAAGGCGTGCTCTTCCTGTTTGCGAAAGCTCTGGGGGGCGGCGGCTCCCGCGACAGCGGGCTGGGGCTCTGCTGTCCCCTCGGCAGCCACGCCCGCGCCCACCACGGCATGCACCAGCGCCTGCAGGTACCGGTCTCTGTCACAGGACAGCTTGGGGCCTATCTCTGCCTCCCGGAGGCAGATGACGGAGGGGATGGAGCTGACCTCTCCCCAGCGTGGCCTGCTCAAGGGTCTCTGGTGGATCTCCATGACCTGTCTCAAATCCAGGCTTCCTCGCGTGGTTTCCTTCCTCGTGCCAATTTTACTAAAGAGCTGAGCCTAACTGGTGTGCCAATACTAGGTATGACGACAGTGTTCATACTGCACAGGCCTTCCAGATGCTTCCCTGGACGAGCTTTCTCCTGAAGGTTCCTTGGGCTTTTAGACCTTTTCTCCCAACTACGTTTTCCACTCAATGCAATCTACATCATTTCCAGGGATTCCCCAAGAAGGGCCCTGCTCTGGAGCCCACCTGGATCACTCACGCCCACTCTCTCCCAGGCCTCAGATGCCTCCCACCCCACTCGCTCAAGCAGCTTCACCTGATGGCGCCTCCCGGGTGCCCCTCACTCATCCTGTTCTCCTGGATATTTGTGGACCCTACACTCAGCATGAGACACAGAGAACCCGAGACCCAGAAGGTACGTCAGAGTCCGGCACTCACTGGCAAATGAAAAAGTGAGGCCCGCAGAGGCTGAACACAGAGGCAGGCCACATCCCGGGCCTCCCCCGTCCCGTGACACCGTGGGGCCCCCAGGGGACACGAGATGGCCACTTGAGGATCCACCTGGCTCTCGGGTGAAACCTGAAAATACCAGGTTTTTGCTTGTTGTAAGGGGGAGGATGTTTTTAAAGGCTTTACAAATATGCAGTTTTTCTGATTACAGAAAGCAGAAGACGCTCATTATTAAAAAAAAAATTAGACGTTGTACAGTGATGCAACAGAAAGTAAGAGTTTCCAAAGGGTCCACCTGCTGTGCTGAGCCCGGACGGCCCCCGGCCCCGCCCCCATCAGCACAGATTACGATTCAGAAACTGGGGCCGTGCTGAGGCGGCTCCTTTAGTTCAAAGATAACAACTTCAAACAGTTTTCAGAGAAAGGGAGAAAGGACTCCGTGACCAAGTTACTCCACACCTGCTCCCGTCAGCCGCCCGAGGGAGCCCTCGCTCCAGAGCAGGATGTGCCTGAGCCACGGCCCGCAGTGCCCCGGGGAGGGCAGGTGGCCGGTGAACGCTAAAAAACGCTGTTTTTCAAAACCGGAAGCTCTCGCCGTCTTGCTCACACGCAGTGACCCAGCTTCTGGCTCCACAACGTCAGGCAATCCCCTCAACAGCTGGAGTCTCTGCACTGAGCCCAAAGCACTCCTCCTGACACTCCCCTGCACCTAGTCTACCCCTGTAGGCAGTGGCATCCACACCAGGCTTTCAGGACTGTGGGGCCACAGGGAAGCGCCCTGAAGGGCGGACAGGGCTGGGGCCGGTCCCAGGGTAGCTGAGCTTTCATTTGGTTCCTATATTAGCGTGCCAAATGTAAGATTTTGTGTAAGACAAAGGATTTTACTAAAGAAAGAAAAAACTGAACATGAGTATTCTGGAGACACCAAACAAACCTATCTGCCGTTCCACACAGACGCTCCCTTCCCTGTGGAGGTGTTCACGTGTCCTCACACGGAGCCCGTTCAAGTGCCTGTTCATACCATGTTCTTCCCTCACTTTCGTTCTCTAGACAAAGTCTCCCTTAAAGAGGGTTTAGCCTGGGTATTCCTGGCCGGGCCCGGGGAAGCTGGTTCTGGAGGAGGGGAGGGAGAACGGCAGGGGGCTCTGGGCCCCTCACCTGGTCGCTGGCACTGGGCACTGGTGCGTCCGAGCCCTGCCGCCGGTGGTGCTGGGCCAGCCGGGCCATGATCACAGGCGAGGTTCGGGGACTGTCCGGCCCAGGGTCCGACAGCGCCGAGTTCCGATTCATCAGCGCCTGGAGGAACAGAGCCCATCCGGAAAGTGCCCCTCAGCTGGTCTGGTAATGCCCATGCCCGGGGGTGCACGCATGCAGGCCCGGGGCTACGCAGAGCCCTTGGTTGCGTGGCTCCCTACTCGGTGCTCAGGATGGTGCTCTGAGGCAGATCCGACTCCCTTCCCACCCTTCACACAAGGAAAACGACCACTCAGACGGGTCGTGAGACTTGCTCAAGGCCGGGAACCCAGCGCTGGGGTATTCCCTGGACACAGCCCTGGCACCTGAGCCCAGCCCGCAGCCGTCCCCTCTAAGCCAGGCCACCTCCCAGACAACCAGCCCTTAGGATACGTCGACTGTGGGTCACCGAAGACCCTCCACCCCTTCTTGGGGGTCTTTCCCACAGATGGATCCCAGCACATACGCTCACCGTCCTCCATGGACAGGCGGCAGCAGTAAGGAAATGCAATTCCAACTATTATTTAAAATTAGAGTTCAAATGTGTTAATTAGCCTGGCTGACCAGATATCTGACTGACGGCGTTATGACTTCTTCTGACCTCTCGTACTTTTACTTTGCAAGTTTACATTTGCAGCTTCTACGTGTAGGCAGACAATAGCTGGAAGGGAACGTGAGGCCGAAAGCTGAAATGCTTCTGACCCTCCAGAAAAGACGAGCTGTTCAAGTGAGACCTGTGAGGGAGCGAGAGAGCCTGCCGCCCCGACTCGGCCGGCTCCGTGCGCGCATCTAAGACGGCGTGGCCGCAGCCGAAGTCCTGTGTGTGCGGCTGAGACGGGCTCCGCTCCCCCGCGCCCAGAGGCTCGTGCCCTTCGCACGGCTGTCTCCGCCCGGCTTTTTACAGAACGGAGCTGTGATAAAGCAGACGCTGGGTCTGACGGTCCTGCACGCAGGGCAGAGTGACTAAAACCCCGGGAGCTGGAAGTGTGGCCGAAGTGCACCCGCGGCAGGTCGGAGGCCGCGGCACAACCGGCCACAGCAGGACCTCTGGGTGCCTGGACAGGGCATGCCGACCGGGGTTTGAGACAGGGCTGGCCCCTGCGGGCACTCACCTCACTGAGGGAGGGGAAGCGCTCTGTCCCAGAGTCCCAGCCGCTGTCCCCTTCCTGGGAATCCAGAGACAGTTGGCCTGGGGAGCAAACAGTTTACACGGGAGGTGGCGCCGTGGCCTGGGGGCCTGTGTGCGGGGCAGGAAGGCGAAGCCACCACCTTCCCTCCTTCCCTGGTTTCCCTTGGGTCAGATGCTCCACACCCGGCTTTTGCCTCCCTGAGGGCCTGTGCCCAGTCCTATCACCTCCTGGAACGAGACGCCACGGCTCTGTCGCCGTGAGTCGTACCCACCCCACCCCTCTTCTGGCCCGACTCACTTCGGGTCACAAGAGCACCAGGGGCCGGGAGGCGAGCCGGGGTCCGGACCCCCATCACGCCAGCAGCGCTCTGGCTCTCCCGAGGGTGGGAAGCTCACGCCCTCGCGGCCCCGTCCCCGTGGGAGGACGCTGCTCATGCCTGGAGAGCAGGGACTACAGCCAACCTTTCCTGACTCGGCCCCATGGGGAGGAACAAGGAGGAGGAAACCAGGGCTGGAGATCTGGGGTGAGGCGGTACTCACCTTCTGATGCTCTCTGGCTGGCGTCGCCATGTAGGGGGGGTACGTCCTGAAAGAGAAAGGTCCAGAGGGTGGGCACATTCCGCGACCCTCTCCCGCACTCGGTCCTTCCCGCAGCCAGCCCTTCCCTCGGTCGGCAGTGTCTGCTCCAAGTGGTGGCTTTTCCCGTTTGTTGCCTTAGAAGTGCCCAGGCCGCGGGGCTACTGCTTCGTTGGTAGTCTGAGGAGGACGGTAAGCCCTAATGCTAGAGAGGGAGCTTGGCCCTTAGAGAAAGTCGCCACACTCACTGGTTTATTGCCCCGGGCCCCACAGCGCCCACTGAGGAGCTGCCCCAGCGGGGCCTGAGGGGAGAGGAGGAGGGGCGGCCTCTGAAGGACCGAACCACGGTCACCGTGCCCCATGCTCGCGAAGCACGCTTTTCTGGGTCTCACTTAGGCTTTCGGCAATGCTGAGGCCCGTGTGACCAGTGAGCAAACGGAGCCCAGAGACTGTGCGTGACTTGCCCGAGCCGTGCAGCAGGACAACCCATGCCAGGGTTGGCGCTCAGCCCCGCAGCTCCCGGCCGGTGTTTCGGCCTCACCCTGCGGAGCACGTGAGCACAGCAGCAGCGCAAACACGCACGGCCCATGAGGGTGGCACGTTTTGGCTTGGACCATAACCCCCGGGCAGGCCCTGGCGGGCTCTCCAGCTCACAGACGAGGACACGGGGCTCCCGGGGCTCAAGCAACTTGCCCCAGAGTCTTAGCGCTGGTGAGCTCAGAACCTGAGCGCCTATCGGCCACATGACACAGATGTGCCCTTCAGAAAGTGGAGCAGTTTAAATTTGATTAGCCTGTGGTTCCCAGACATTTTGATCTGCATGGTCTAAAAAAGAAAGGAGATGATCCTCAAAGAACTTTTATTGGCTTTGGCAAATATGATTCTTGGAGATCTTAGTTTCTGGAGAGTTCCTTCTCGTTTGCCCGAAGGGTCACGGCCTGATGGAGACTGAGCAGGACGCCAGGAAGAGAGGCCCTGACTGGAACAGGTAAGGGCATCTCCTCCCTGGGGTTTCCCTACAGACCCTGCTCCATGGTGCGGGTCCCTTACCGAGCCTGACGTGGGGGGTGCCTGCAGCCTCCGAGGAGACCCACTGCTTGCGGCGCGAGAGGCTCCAGGAGCCGCCGGAGGCGCGCTGAGTAAAACCGGTGCAGGAACGGCCACACTCCCCGGAGGGAGCAGATAACGAAACTAAAGCCGCGACTGCAGGCTCTCGGAGCCCGAGAAAGGGCCCCCCGGTGCCCGCACAGTGCTCAGCCCTGTGGCGCCGAGCGAAGAATTGCTGCCCTTTGTTTCTTTGTAAGATACCGAACGCTGACTAGGCGAGGCCGGCATGGCTCAGGAGGCCTCTGCCCAGGCTCTCTCCCCTCGTCCTCCCCGCGGCCACGTGAGCGGCGCCCTTCCTGGAGCCGGGCCGCGGCACTCACCTCGAAGCCCCCCGTCTCCTGCTGGATCTTCAGCTGTAGCTGAGTGACGCGCCTCCGGGCACCTTCAATCCGCTCTTCCAGCGGGCTGGTGGGGTTCCGGCTGTACACCTCACAGATCCGCTGGGGACGGCAAGGGCACCAGGGTGGTTAGTGGAGGCTGGACGACTCACCCAGGGGCGAGAGCAGGCAGTCACCCCAAAACCAAGAGGAGAGATGGGAGCTCTCTGCCTTCGGGAGATGCACGGGAGCTCGCCGTCGCTCAACAGAAAGGTGTAGAGATGGTGAGAAACATCCCGGAATGCCAGCCGGGGCGGGAAGACAGAACACAAAGGCCCGTCCAGTCTGAACCACCGTCCAAGGCTGGGCGTACGCCTCATCCTAAAGAGGTCTTCCTTGGCTCTGGCTCAAGTGTCAGATGTTCACCGTCTGTGCAGAGTAGGCCACACAGGGAGCTCACACGCAGCACTGAGAGTCCCAGGAGCCCTGTCTGGCCGCAGGTGCTGCTGGGAGCTGCTCGGATGCTCACCTGTGCACACCTGCCCTCACCCGGTGCTCACCCGGTGCGCACGCAGAGCTCAGAGCCTGGGCTTTGCAGTCGGGGAGGCCTGCCCCTGAATTCCATCCCCTGGGCTCACTAGCTGTGCAGACCTGGCAGACTTTCCTGCGTCCTCCCAGATAACGGGGATGTCGGTCCCTGCCCGCTGGGGAGCAGCGAGGCCTGGACGACACTGCCCGTGAAGCCTTCACAGGAGGCAGCTACTACTGCACCACAGAAGGAAGTGCCCGATAAAGCTGGCTCGTCCCGCAGTTAAATAAAGCTGGGGGGCACACACTTTCTGGGAGCTCATCCGGGCCTCCCTGCTACCTGACAGCCTCTCCAGGCCCGTGGCCCGTGGCCCACGGCCTCTAGTAAGGCTTCTTGGCTGCAGTGCAGACATCTGCGGCCTCCCCTCCCCGGCCCCACAGAGCAGCTCTGCCTCCAGCCGCCGGGGCTCTCCGGAAACACTGTTCGCACCCTCAGTCTCCCCATCCCATGGCTCCTTCCCCTCATCCTGCACGAATGCTCCTTTCTGGTCTTAAAACAAAAACCAGCTGCCACCACGAAGCCCTTCCATCAATTCTGATTACCCTTCAAGCCGCTGCCTCGGCCCTTTCTCCTTCCTCCCACGGACACGTCTCCAGACAGGCCTCGACCCTCGGGGCTCAGAGCCTAAGGCCGGCACACAGTCTTGTCCCTCCGACTCCTTCAAGGAGCCAGATGACCCAGGGGCAAGCCCTGTGGCCAGGCCTCAGCTGTCATCTCGAGCGCCCCCTCCTCGGAAGGCCGTCCTGGCGCCCCCCCCCCCCACAGCCTGCCTGCAGCCTCGCCCGGTTCCTGTGCCCGGTAACTCGCGTGGGTCTGCACCAGCTACATAGGGGACATACCCAGAGACACGGGCCTAGCCTGTACGTTACTTAGTCGAACTGGGAGAAGGACAAACAATTAAATTCCAAATGTAACAGCAAATACAACAGTGATGTGACAGGTGGGTGTGGTGTGCCATAAAAGCACCAAGTTCCGAAACTCCATCCCCGCTCCCTCTCCTGTCTGTACCGGCACCCTCGGGGACCCCACCTAGTCCCCAGTTCCAACTACCACCTTCACGCCGAGGACACCTGAACCTCTGTCTCAACTTTGCCCTTTCCCTCGAGGCTCAACCCTCTCATCTCCACGGCTGGTGGACGGTCTTTCTGTCTGAATGTCCCGAGAGCACCCAGAGCTGACCTTCGTGTCTTCCCTGCAAACTCTACCCTGTCCCCCGCCTCCACCCACCACCGGCATTGCCGCCGTCCCAGCACCCAGACTCAGGGCATCTCTTGTTCTTTCTGCCCTGCTACCTCCCCCCTGCAGGCCGGCCATTCACCCTTTGACCCCTGACATGTCCCCTGGGGCCCGCCGTGTCTCCCTGGGCTGACTCCTACACAGCACTCCACACAGCAGCCGCGGGACAGTCTCTGGGTATGTCTGCGCGCTGAACACACGTCTCTGGGGAACACTGGCTCGGAGATGTGATCACGCCCCTGCTCAAAATCCTCTGAGACCCATCCCAGGGTCTTCAGAATAAACTCCAAGCTCAGCGTGGGTTTCAAGGCCCAACGCACCTTCCAGAGTGAAACGGACTGAACCCAAACTCAAGTGCCCACCTCGGGAAGCCCTCCCTGATTCCTGTAGATTACTCCTTTTGGGCTTCTGTGCACTTAATATTTTAGAATCTGTTGACACACAATTCACATGAGATAAACCTCAGCATTTTAAAGCATACAACTGAGTGGTCTGCACACATTTGCAGGCTTTACAGAGACGGCCCCCACCACGTAGTTCTGGAACATGGCCACCACCCGGCAGGACGCGGTCACTGCCACCTTCTCCCCGCTCCACCCCCACAACCACTAATTTACTTTGTGTCCTTGTGGACGTGCCTACGCTGGACCTGCCTTTAATTAAATGGACTCACACAACCTGTGGCCTTTTGCTCCCAGCTCCTCCCTGAGTGCCTCTCGTGTTGTAAGCGTGTGGCAGGCTTCCTGCCCGGGGTGGGGGGCGGATCACGAACGTCTGCGTACACGTGTGTGTCCGATGCATGTTTTCAGTTCTCCGCGGTCAGACCTGGGAGTGGGGCTGATGGAGCGTGTCTCTGTGCTGTTCTGATGAGCCGCCAAACCGCATTCGCAGCGGCCGTGTGACTTGGCGTCCTCACCAGCGATGGTGGGAGTCCATTGGGATAAGGAGCACACAGGACATAAACTAGAATTTCCCCAATTTCTCCCCTCACCCACACCTGCTACTCTCTGTTGTTTTGGTTCCAACAATCCGGTGGGAGTACAGTGCGGCTGTGACCAGCACCACCCTGATGACCAGTCGCCACGGGCTTACCGGCCATCTGTATGCGTCTTCACTGTCCATTCAAATCCTCTGCCAACTTACCAACTGGCTCAGATTTCTTTTTACCGTTATGTTTACAGGGTCCTGTACGTCGTACTCTGGCACAAGCCCTGGCTCGGACAGAGGAGTTACAAGTATTTTCTCCCATTCTGTGGGCTTTTTACTTTCTTGATTGTGTCCTTTGATGCACAAAGGTTTTTAATTTGGATGAAATCCAATTTATTTATTTTTTGGTTGTTTCTACTTCTGGTGTCATATCTAGGAAAACACCGCCTAATCCAAGGTCATGAAAATTTACACCTGTGTTTTCTTCTGAGAGTTTTGCAGTTTTACTTACTTATTTTTAAAGATTTTATTTATTTGACAGAGAGAGACACAGCAAGAGAGGGAACACAAGCAGGGGGAGTGGGAGAGGGAGAAGCAGGCTTCCCGCGGAGCAGGGAGCCCGATGTGGGGCTCGATCCCAGGACCCTGGGACCGTGACCTGAGCCGAAGGCAGACGCTAAATGACTGAGCCAACCAGCTGCCCCGAGTTTTGCAGTTTTAAAAAACACTTTTAGTTCTTACATTTGTCTTTGATCTACTTGGGATTATATTCTGTTTACTGTGTGAGGTACGGATCCACATTCATTCTTTGCATGTGGACGGCCAGTTGGTCCAGCACCATTGGGTGGAAGACGATTTTCTCTCCCAAATGGTCTGGACGCCTTTGTCAAAATTCAACTGATCCTATTTGTGTGGTTTAACTTTTGGACTCTGAACTCTATTCTACTGAGCGATAGGTCTGTCCCATCGTTCTGTGCTGCTAAGCATCTGCGCTTACTACAACGTGGTATATGCCATGTGCACGGATCTCCATCCACCCACAGATACCCCACCGGATCACAAACCCCATGAAGGGAAGCTCCACATCTCACTTTTCTGTGTAACCTTTCCAGCCTCTGCGCCCTCATCGCTTGGATGCCCTGCCCCCCTGCCCCACACACGAGCACCCAGCATGCAGCAGCAACTCAATCCTGCCAAACACGGGAGCGTAGTTTCACATGTCCGTGCCCTTGGCCTGTGCTGTCCACTCGCCAGCGGACCCTCCTCATCTGTTCTGCTCGCAGAAGGCCCACCCGTCAAGGCCCAGCGGAAACACAGCCCTGTCCCTGAAGTCTCCTGGCATACCCACCGTTCACGGATTGCTCTCTTCCTTGTCTCCCTACTGACTCTCCTACTATGCTATGAATGTTCTCTGCTACGACAGAGCCGTGCTGAGGGCAAGAACCGTCTAAACTTTCCACGTCTATATACCATACGACCTAAAACAATGCTTTATATGAGGCGGGCACTGACAGAAACGTGAACGGAAATGAAAGGGCCAGCCCAGGACTTGGCTGCCCCACCACACCCCCTCCACCAATGGGGTCCCACTGCCTCCTGCCCCCCGCCCGGAGACCCCGAGACCTTCCTTGGCTCTGGTGTTCCCCTGCTGTGTTCTCCCCACTCCATCTCCTGCTGGGACGGGGCTGTGTGTCCACTAGTCGAACCTATTACCCAGGAGCTCTGGTCCCTGTTCACTTTCTTGCCCGAGTTCTGCTTTAATGAATCCCACGGTCACAACAACCGTTCAGTGGGCCGCAAGTTTCGGGTGCTGGGGTGTAGGGGTGACGGGCTGTGCCCCGAGAGTAAGGCTGTGGCCAGTGGCCCTCGGCAGGACCTCACCTGTAACTCCTTCTCCTCCTGCCTCAGCATATTGCGAAGGATCTGGGTGGCATGTTTTTGGAACTCGGGATCCTGGAAACGGAGCAGACCAGGGGTGAGGGTGGGAGCAGCCTCGCAGCTTCTCTCCCACCTGCTGGTTCTCAGGCAGGAAAAGCCGGCAAAGCCGTCGGGGTCGTCTGTATGTTTGAGTGACCCACAGCTCCTCAGCAGACTTCAGGCACCGGGTGTCCCTCCTGAATTCCTAGAGGCCTTGGCGGCAACCACCCCTGGTACCGAACGGCTCCACGTTGGTTCCCAGCCCGCTGGCTCGGTCTTCTGTCCGGCCACAGATCCCAGCCCCATTCCTAACCGCACCTCGTCCTTCCTCTGCCTGTCCGGGTCCACCCCTGCCGCTGCCTGCGCTTTCCCGATCCGCTCCTTCTGTCCCCTTTCGTCCCTCAGGCAGCCTTCCCCCTACTCGTCCGTGTGTCCCAGTCTTGTGACAGTGGCTGGCCGCGGTCTTTAACGGACGCCCCTGTCCGTGCCTGGAGGGGTGCACTCTCCCTGCTGGCGGGCGGCACCCCAAGGGCCTCCGTAGGGTCCCCCCCATTGAGGAAGCACGCTGCCCGCTGCTGGCTGGGAAGGCTGGATGCCTTCACGTGGAAGGCAGACGCTAAGGGTGGAGTGGCCCCTTCCGTGCAGCCAGTCCTCGTTTTGTTCTGCTGACACTCTTCACGGATCTCTGGCTTGTCTCTGCCTACCAGCACGCCTCGATACAACCCGCTTTCCTCCCCACGGGGTGACCACGAGGACCGTTACCTGCAGTGGTTTGGGCCCTGTGATGCGCTGTGGAGGGGGCAGAGGTGGTGGTGGAGGAGGCGGGGGGACCACAGGGGCGACTCGGGGGGCTCCAGCTGGGGCAGGGTCCTGCTGCAGCCCAGAGACACCGACGGATGAGGGGGAAGAGCCCAGAAGGGTCAGTGCGACATAGGCGCCGGCTGGAGGCAGACAGACAAGGAGAGGTTTGCTCAAGGAGCGTCGTCCTGGGTGGTGGACAAAGCTACAAGGGGGGGGGGGCATCTTCTCCCTTCTCCTTTCATGAAGCTTAAAAATCTGCAGATAAAACTCTTCACACTTCAGGGCCCCGCCGCCCCCTAATTCCAGCCCACCGGCCCCGCGTCCACACTGGTACCTCTTCCTTCCCCGTCTTCACACAGGGTGCCCAAGCAGAATTCCACCCAGGTACGTGGCTGCCCTCCCCAGAGGCGGCCGGCCCTCGTGCCCTTCACCTCACTCAGTTCCCTCAAGCCCCGGGTGCACAGAAGGCACTCAGACGCTAGCCTCCCACCCTCCTCAGGCCACCTGCCCGTGAACCCTTCCCTCAACTCTCTTGCTTCTGTTGGATTACCTGGGCAGCCCCGATGGTTGGGTCTTCCTGGCTGCAAACAGAATGTTTTTGCCTTTTCCCCCCAAATAGGCAAGCACTGAGGACGGCTGTCCGTGGAGGGGACAGGGGAGCGAGTGGCCCTGGTGGGAGCCGGTGCAGCAGGGTATGGTCTCCATGCGTGTGCAGGGAACGGGGCAGGCCCAGTAGATCAAGACGACACACGTGATCCTAGCTGCCTCTCTCACCCACAAAGGCCCCAGGTCAAAGGGCCTGCTGCCCCAGCCCACCTGCCCCCCTGCCACCTTTCTGGGCTCCGCTCTGACTCACATTTGATAAGCTTCACCACCTCCAGGTGTGAGCTGTTCGTCACCATGGTGCCGTTCACCTGTCGGGGGACAAACAACAGAGTGACCAGGATGGACGCAGGGGATCCTTCCGAAGCTCAAACGCCACTCCTTCACAAAGCCACTTTCCAATGCTCCGCAGACCCCCCTGGTCACTGGGACTTTGCTTCCGTTCACACGTGCTGTACGTTCTGTCTTCCCGGCTGGCCTGCGAGCCTTCGGCCCTTGGCCCCCGCCCCCGCCCAGCGTGCTTCCTCCTCGCTGGAGGGCTAAGGTCTTGCCTCGCCTAGGGTTCCCTCAGTGCCTCCAGGACTGTGCGGCACCACAGGCCGGGCAGGTCCCAGCAGGTGGCAGATGGCAAGGCCCTCAGGTCAGCACTGTGTGGGGACAGAGTCCGAAGGCCCTGGGCCCCTTGCTGGTCTCAGCCTCCCCATCTTAGGTGTATTTTTGTTGTTTGTTAAATGGGAAAATAAAACCCATTCCAGAAGCTTGGTTACTTAGAGTTAAGAAGGGCCGAGGATGGGGCTTCTGGGGGCTGGTCCCCACATTCCTGGAGTACTCTCGTGGCACCGCCCCCAACACAGCAGCCAGCCACCCCGGGGCAAGGCAGGAGGGTGCAGAGAGCTGGCCAGAAGCGGGGGGGGGGCACTCACTTTGATGATCCGGTCGCCCTCTCTGACGCCAGCTCTCATAGCTGCCCCTCCTGTAGGGAGAAGACCTGGTCAGCAGAGCCCAGCCCCCCTCCTCTGAGGTCCCTGACCCTGCCCGGCAGTCCCTCCAAAATGTCTTCTCAGCCCTTTGTGCCAGGCCCTCAAGAGGCTGGCTATGCCTCCTGTCCTGCTCCGGGGACGATCCCATGAGCTGCAGGGGGCGTGCCAGCCACCCGGCTCGAGGCCAGGCTGCTGGTAGCCAGAGGGGCAGGCCTGGCTCCGGAACAAGACGTGTGCTTTATCGGAACATGTCTGGATGGGTCCCACGATCCGGTGGGAAGAATGAGCTATCGTATTAAATGTAATTGTCAGTGTAACAGTAATTATCAAGAGGAACAGGAAGAAATGGGTGAAAACAAAGAGTTTTCAAACTGCTTCCTGAGCCCTGAGAGCCTCCTTCTGGGGTTCACACCAGTAAAGATGACAGTGACCACTCCTTTATTGTCTGTTTAATTTGCTTTAGACCCTTTGCAGTTTCTTCCTTTATTTATTTATTTTTAACAGATTTTATTTATTTGGGAGACAGAGTAAGAGCGAGCACAAGCAGGGAGAGAAGCAGACTCCCTGCCGAGCAGGGAGCCCGATGTGGGGCTTGGTCCCAGGGCCCCAGGGATCATGACCTGAGCTGAGGGCAGACGTCTAACTGACAGCTGCCCGGGCGCCCCAGTTTCTCCCTTTAAAAGGGGCAGGATTCAGAGCTCCTGCTGTGCATTACTGGAGGCTGTCCCTCGGCTGGAGGCCACAGCACCGGTGACCGCTGTATGGTTTACAATGACTCAGTCCTGGTCTGGTTTACATCCAGGAAGCGTAAGCAGCACGAGAGCCAAAGCAAGCTAACAAGCGGCATACAGACTGTGTTTCGGTGAATCTGCCCCAGATGATCATTCAATGTGTAAGCTGCATCCGTCTGATCAAAACAAAACTCCCACGAAGCACATATAGATGCTTCTGGTCTAAAAGGAGCTTCTACAGTGGAGATGCATTCCCAGTTGGGTTTCAACCCAGGGACTCAGTATTACACCCCCGTCTGCAGCCTGCTATTTACGGAAGAGCACTCGTGAGGATCTTAAAGCACTCTAGGCTGTGTCTGGAAACCAAAGGTGGGAAAGAGCTATCTCGCCTGATTTTGAATAAAAGGCAGTCTCCAGAGTAAAGGAACCAGAGAAGTTCTCTGGCTTCAGTGAGCATGAGGATCACTGGGGGAATTTGTTCAAAGGCATGTCCCCTGGCCCCCTTGCCAGAGGGTGATTCAGTCCTTCTGGGCGTGGGCTCGGGACGACGACGGCAGCCCCCCTGGGGTCCGGGAGACTCTCATGTCGGCACTGACCACGCTCTGAGAAACAGCGAGCTAGGGGAGACTCATGTCAGGGAAAGACAGTAACAACCACTTCATTACTCTTGTGAGGTCAATGCTGATGCAGATGTCATCTCTTCGTGTCTCCTCGCCCAAACACACACGCGCATGCACGTGTACACAGAGACGCACGCAGACAGACGCAGACACACACGCTTTCCAAAACTCCGGTTTCCCTGACAAGCCACCTTTCTGCCATTTTGTGTCCGGGTCTGACTGTGCTCAAGCCTCCGGCCACCCAGTCCATCCATCAAGCCATCATCTCTCCAGTCCAGGAACAGGGAGAACGAGGGAAGCAGAGAACAGAAGCATCTCTTCGGAGCTCCATCCTCAGACAGGAAGACAAGCCTGTCACAGACCCAAGGGAACTCACAAACACACAAGCTGCAACTATTTACATCCTCCTGCAACCCACATACCTCGTTTGGGTCATAAATTTGAAATTCTCCTTTTACCTTCCCCGTAAACAAATCCCAACTATTTCTCCAAAACTACCAATATTTTTCTTCCCATTTTACAATGTACTGAGTGTGAAATGCTGGCCTGCTCCCGACCTCCTTCCTCGTTTTACCGTGCTCAGCCGTGGGGGCTTTGCCGCTGTTGGGTTTTTACAAACGGGAGGTTTGGGGCAACCCCGCGTCGGCGCCCGTGGTCCGGCAGCAGGTGCTCACTTCCTATCTCTGTCACAGTCTGGTGATTCTCACAGTATCTAAAACTTTTCCATTATTCGATGTTTATGATGATCTGTGCCAAGTGATCGTTGATGCGCTAGCGTCATTGTTTGGGGGCGCCGCAGGCTGCACCCAGATAAGACGGCCGATTTAACCAATGTGTGTGACCACGGCTCCACCGACGGCCGCTCCCCCGTCTCTCTCCCTCCCCGCGGGCCTCCCTCGTCCCTGAGCCACGGCGGTGTGGACATGAGGCCGGTCGGGTGAAGGGAAGAGTCGCACGTGCGGGGCTGGGAGTGAGAGGAGAGCAGGGGTGAAGCTTAGCGAGGAAGGCGGGTCCAGAGCCGACAGCACGAAAGCCCGGGCCTCTCGCGCCAACGGTCCGCCGAGCTGTGAGCGCACAGGAAAAGTCGTTGGAGGAAATTAAAAGTGCGATTCCAGTGAACACACAGGCCGAGGAGAAAGCGAGCTGGCCTGCTGCTGGCGTGGACAAGGTCGGAGCGGTGTGGACCGAGCATCCGAGCAGCCAGCACAGCCCCTCCTGCCGAAGTCCGGTCCAGAGCAAGGCCCCAACGCTCCTCCTGATTCCGGGAAGGCTGAGCCGGGGTCGGAGCTGCGGGAACGCAGCCTGGAGCCGCAGGAGCTGGTTTGTGGGGTGTCGGCAAAGGAGCCGTCTCTGTAACACAGAAGCGGCCGGTGAAGCAGCGGGGTCCCCAGAAGATGGAGCTCAGAAATTCCTGAAGGTGGCTACGCGACCAACCAACTTCCCATGTGGACGAGACCGCCTTCTACGGGGAGAGGATGCATCCAGGACGCTCATGGCTGGAGAGCAGGGCTCAGTGTCTGGCTTCCCAGCTGCAGAGAACAGGCTGCCTCTCTCGTTAGGGGCCAACGCCGCTGAGACTCTAGGTGAAGCCCACGCTCGACCATTCCGAACATCGCAGGGCCCTTCGGGGTGATGCGGACTCTGCTCCGCCTGTGCTCTGGAAAGGGCCCAGCCAATCCTGGATGATGGCTTGTCTGCTTACAACAGGGTTGACTAAATGTCTGAAGTCCACCGTTGAGACCTGCTCGGAAAACAGATCCCTCTCAAAATACCCGGCAGGGGCCCCTGGCTGCTCAGTCGGTAGAGCAGACAACTCCTGATCTTAGTGTCGTGAGTTCAAGCCCCATGTTGGGCGTAGAGCCTACTTAAAAAAAAAAAAAAAAATGCACCTGCCCCTCCCCCCAGCCCCCCGAGCTCTGACAGACGGACAAGAGAGGAGTGTTGTTTTCATGCCCGCCAACACAACACCCACTCTGCAGCTCATGGATCAATGAGTCATTTCGACTCTCAAGTCTTTTTTTTTTTTAAATATTTTATTTATTTATTTGTCAGAGAGACAGTGTGCACGAGAGCCCAAGCAGGGGGAGCTGCAGGCAGAGAGAGAAGCAGGCTCCCCACTGAACAAGGAGCCCGATGTGGGACTCAATCCCAGGACGCTGGGATCGTGACCTGAGCCAAAGGCAGACGCTTCCCTGACTGAGCCACCCAGGCATCCCGACTTTAGTCTTATTATTTGACAGATACACTCTGTGAGGCCCCAGCTGCCATAGATGATTCTGCTGATGGATCTGGGCAAAGTCAACTGAAAACCTTCTGGAAAGGATTCGTCATCCTTGATGTCATTGAGAACATTGATGGTTCGTGGGAAGAGGTCCAAGTATCAACATTCACAGGGGTTTGGAGGCTGACTGCAGCCCTCGTGGAGGACTGTGCGGGGTTCTGGGCTTCGCTGGAGAAGTCGCCGCAGATGTGGAAACAGCAGGGGGCAGGAATCGGGACGGAACTGCTGTGATCTCAGGGTGCAAATCTGAACGCACGTGGAGCTCTCCTTAAGGAGGAGCCAAGCACGTGCTTTCTCTGCAGGGGAGCTCCTCCTGGAGGGGATGCTGTGAAGACCACCGCCATGACCTCGACGGATTTCGGATAAACCTAGTGGATCACACAGAGGCAGCGTGGGAGAGGACTGGCTCCAACTCGGAGACGACACCGCACGCATGCTGCGGGAGATTGTTCATGGAAGGAGGGGCCCGTTGATGCCGCAAACTTCACCGTCTGATGTTTGGAGACTGCCACGGCCACCGCCGCTTTGGCAGCCACCAACGCAGGGGCAAGACTGCCGCCAGCACAAAGGCTGTGACCGGCTGATGAGCAAGAAGGTGCTTTTCGCGAAGGCTCGTGTGTCGTGGTTTTAGACCTAATGCTACCGCACATGGCAAACCATGGTGTGGCTCACCTCATGCACTTAGAAACCAAAATGTGTGTGACCTGCTTTACGGTGCTATTTGCTTTACCGTGGCGGTCCGGGACCGAGCCCGCCATGCTGCTGCCGTGAGCCCGTGACGCTCTCCACATCGCTGCCCAACCCCATCTGCCACACTGAAGTTCACTACTTTCAGGGACACTGCTTCACACGCTTCTGCACTCCTTCCCACTTGTCAGCGTCAGCCGAGGGCACTTGCAACATGATCCCGCCCGTAAGTGCTTGCTGGACCGACCTGCGTACAGGCCCTCCCACCGGATTCCTAGCCTGCCAGAGAGTTTTTGCTCCCCCCCTTCCAGACGATTCCTGAAATCCCACGTCTTCCAGAGTGGCTTCAGCCTCAAACTGCCGATCTCCCAATGCCGCCTCCTCCCTGCTGTCCCGCACTCGTCACTCTTCCTTTGGTCATTTACCATTTAAGGTCAGCTGCATCCGCAACCGCAGGCAACCGCTTGGGCCGGCACGTCATCCCCAACTGTAAAGTGGGGTCTCAGATTCCGCCACAGCGTCTTCTGACCCAGTGTGAGAGGCTCCCTGACGTCCTGAGGGCCACTCTGCTGTTCTTCCCCTTCCCAGCCGGGGAGCATCAAGTGTGACCCCTAGAAATTCTGTCCCGTGGCACGGAGCTCTGGAGACGTCCCCAGACGTCCCCGGGGAACAGGCCTAGAGCCAGGCATTCACGCCCAGACCTCGCCACACGCATGTTCTCTGGCTCCCACGGCGGCCGCACACGCGGCTCTCGCACACGCAGCTGCACACACACGGCTCTCACACACCTGGCTGCACACACGCAGATCTCGCACACCCAGCTCTCACACACCTGGCTGCACACACGCAGATCTCGCACACGTGGCAGCACACATGTGGCCCCCACACGCGGCTCTCGCACACCCGGCTGCACACATGCAAATCTTGGACATTCAGCGGCACACATGCGGCCCCCACACTCGGCTGCACACACGCAGCTCTCACATCTGGCTACACACATGCGGCTCTCACACTTGGCTACACACACGTGGCTCTTGCACACGCAGCTGCCCACATACGTCGGCACACACAGGTGGCTCTCACACACTCGGCTGCGCATATGCGGCTCTCAACACACTCGGCTGCGCACACGCGCTCACACTTGGCTGCACACACGTAGCTCTCACACATGCGGCTGCACACACGCAGCTCTCACACCCAGCTGCACACACGTGGCTTTCGCACACCCAGCTGTGCACACGCGCTCTCACACGCGGCTGCACACATGCGGCTACACACACCCAGCCGCACACACGTGGCTCTTGCACATGCGCCTGCCCACATACGGCGGCACACACGCGCTCTCACACTCCTGGCTGTACACGTGGCTCTCACACGTCCGGCGGCACACACGCGGCTCTCACATGTGGTGGCACACACTCGGCTGCGCACACGCGCTCACACACCCGGTGCACACACGTGGCTCTCACACGGCTGCGCACATGCGCTCTCACACTCGGCAGTGCACACGCAGCTGCACACACGCGGCTCACACACCCGGTGGCACACACGCGGCTCTCACACTCAGCTGCGCACATGCGGCTCTCGCACACTTGACTGCGCACACGCGCTCTCACACTCGGCGGCACACACACGGCTCTCGCACACTCGGCTGCACAGAGGTGCTCTCACACTTGGCTGCGCACATGCGGCAGCACACACGCGGCTCTTGCACACTTGGCCGCACACATGCGCTCTCATACTCGGCTGTGCACACACGGTGGCACACATGTAGCTCTCGCACTCGGCTGCACACACGTGGCTCTCGCACACTTGGCTGCGCACGCGCTCGCGGCAGCACATGTGGTGGCACACATGCGGCTCTCACGCGGCGGCACACACGCGGCTGCCGTGTATAGACGGGCAGGCAGCACTCACCAGGCCGCACAGACTGCACCAGAACGATACGGTCCCCACTGACCGTGAAGCCGAAGCCATGCTGGTCCTTCTGGATGATGACACAGCGCTGAACAAGACCTGACAAGAGGTGACAAAGAAAGAAGGGGTCAGGGAGGCACAGTCGCTGGAAGGTTGGTGCGTATGAGCTCGGACCAGCCCAGGAAGGCCCAGAAAGCCTTTCCAGACTAACCAATTCCCCAGACTCTTCCTGTCCAAACACTATGTTTGGCGAGCAACAGGCCCTATCACCGACTCTGCGTTCCACCTGAGGGATGACCCTCCTCCCAGCACCGAGCTGTCTCTCTTGCACGGGTCTGTCTCTTTGGCTCTGGCTGGGTGAGGCTAGCCAGAGAAGGGGCAGGGCCACGTCCCCGCTGAAGAGAGGTGTGACAGAGAAGCAGCTCTATGACTGAAGCCCAAGGGAGGCCGAATTTCCATCAAATGAAGCCCAATGGGTACAGCAGGTACACCACCACGCTGGCCCTGCCGAATCCAGGAAAGGGTGCATGGAAAGAGAAAACGTATGTCTACGCACGAACGTAGAGGAAAAGAAAGAAGGCTGTAACTGCCGGCCGGTCCCAACCCTGTGGGTGTGTACTAGATGTCACATGCGCCTGCCAACGTGTGACCACCTCCTGTGAGGGACAGAGCGTGAGTTCCAGAGCTAGAACCTGACGGGTTTCAGGCCCTGCCTCTGTCCCCTCTGTGCTTGGGCACTGAGGCAAGTTTCTGAACCCTCTGTGCCTTAGCTTCCTCACCTGTAAAGCACGATAACATTACTTACTAGACTGACAGAAAGACAAATGAGCTAATTTATATAAAACGTGTAACGTCATGCCTACCACATGTTACAGGCTCAATATACAGGCTAAGATCTGTCTGTGTGGGTGTTCATGTCCGTGTCAATGTGTTAATGCCCCAAGTTTACCTGCTGCCTCAGAGGTGTCAGAGGGCTGGCGGAGGTGGGAAGGGGACCTGCGTTCAGGTGCCGGATCTCCCAAAGACAGGCTACTTAACCTGGAGGGTAATAAGGAAAGCACATTGGTGAGTTGGGAGGGGAGGTACCAGCCTTAGGTGCTGGTAAAAGGGGCCCCGAGTCTTGGGTAAAGAGAGGCCAACCCTCTCACCCGGAACCCGCTAAGTCTGGTGGGAGATTAGCCAGGTCTACACCACTGCCAACACCACCTATTTGGAATCCTGGGCTGGCAAGGCAAGCATGGTCTCTTTGATACCCAGCAAGGCGTGAAGGGCAAGAGCCCTCCCTGGAGTCAGGAGACAAAGAGACAGTGCAAAGGACGGGATGTGCACAGACACACACGCTTGTTGAGTCTTACCAGGCTGCAATGGGGCTGATGGAACAGAACGAAGCAGCAGAGAAAATGAATGCAAGAAAAAGACAGGAAAAAACAAAAAAGCTAGTTAGTTTTAGGCGAGGATTTGCAAAGGAAAGGGAGACTGAAGAGCAAGATTGTGGAGGGTCAAAACCACACGGAGACCCGCGTGCACCCAGCAGAGGACGGTGGTGGGTGCAGGAGAAGGCCTCCCCGACTCGAACTTCATCTTGCCGTCCCCCTCCAAACCAGTGTCTCCAGGAGGATAACTGGACATTTGATACTAACCTGTTGGGTAACTAGCATACACTTGTCTAGATAGGAAGGGCAGGGCAATGGCCCAAGCCTCTGAACACGCCACTTCTCCTGTGGGCTATGGGAGGAGTCTGGCCTGTCTGGTGGTAGTATTCCAACCCACATCCACCCCCTGCCGGCAGCCAGCCTGAGGCACATTGCTTAGCAACTGTTAAGACCCTAAACCAAAAAGGTACCCCAGATTACCAAACCAGATTTACCACCTGATCTTGTCTTGAAAGGGACCCCTGCAGGAGTGGGGTAAGCTCGATCATTGCCATGCCTCTCCCTTCCAGAAGAGTGTACCTGCTGCCCCTCCAAGGGGGTCTCCCAGGCATATCTACAGCAAATGACCAGGTAGAAGAATATTCATGGAGGCACTGTGTGCAGGGGCAAAGCACAGACTCCTGTAACTGTTCCCACAGGCGGCAGGTTCCCTAAACCGCAGGGCGCTCAGCTGCGTGTGAGGGGGAAGCTCAGAGCAGAAAGCAACGGCCTCAGGATGTGTTGCAGAGTGAAGACGACAAGGAGCGGAATTATGTGCACAGGGAATTATTTGTTTCTGTGTGTTTCCGTACTTGTTTGCATGTGCACAGAATGTCTGAAAACAACTCTGGGAGGACACAAGAGAAAGCCGCACCCTGGGTGTCCGGAGTGTGGGGCTGCAGCTGCAAGCTTTCCACGTTCTTGGAAGTACCCTTTACGTTCTCAGTCACGTGAAGGTGCGGTTGCTTCAAGTAATACGTACAACACAACATAAATCACTTTTAAAGTTAAAGGGGGGGTCTTCTTCCCCCCTCACCCTGGCACCCCTCTTACAGGTGAGACTGCTTTTTACTGGCTGATCTTTGGATCAGAGAGAGAAGGACACCAGGGAAGAAGAGAGCACGGAGCCCAGGAGAGAGCGACACAGGAAAGGAGGAAGAAAAACAACAAAACAAGACATAAACCAGACAAGACACTGGAGCGGGCTGGTTCAAAAAAAAGCCACAGCAGAGCTCAGAAGGGCCCGGGAGTAGAAACCAGCCAGGGTGCAGGGGAGTCATCCTGCGAAAATGCATCTTGCTGCCAGGAACGTCGCAGAGCTTCGCTACGGTTCTCGGGGAAGCTGGGCCACAGCGTTCAGCAGGGACTCCGGCCGGTCCTCCCACCGCCCCCGGGACCACGGTGCCGCAGCAGCAGGGATGCGCAGGGGACTGCCTCCTCCCGACTGCGGGGCTTACGGGGGGGGCTGTGGGCCCACCACGGCGGGGCTCCGGCGGCGCTGAGCTCATTGCTGGTCTGCCTACAGTCCTTCACCTGCTCTGGTTTCTGGCTCCTGCCTCTGCCCATACTGGGCCTGCCCCCTAGATGTCCTTCCTACCCCACGGCCGGTACCGCGTCTGGAAGCCAGACACGAGCGGGCACAGCCAGCAGCTCCAACTTCCAGCCGTCTTCAAATGACCCGACCGCTCCACCCACGGCGGGCCCTCCACTGAGTTCAGCAGCAAGTGTTCTAGAATGTGCAGATGGTAACTGCACTCGCTGTGGCGACCGTTCTGCAACAGACGCATGTGCGGTCATCATCGAGCTGCGGCCAGTCACCTACGGCTCCGTGAAACTGAAAACGGTGTCCCAGCGTCCAGACTCCTGCTATCTGATAGCCACCAGCCACACGTAGCTATGCAAATTTACACTCGAAATTACATTTAAGATTCAGTTTCTCAGTTGCAAAGGCCACGTCTCAAGGTCTTCAAAGCTACACGTGGCTCGTGGCTAGCACAGCCCCTGGACCATGCGCATCACCACAGAAAGTCCTACCGGACGACGCTGCCAGGGCACAAACGTGAGATGCGGTCACGCAGCGAGTGGGTGAGGTGAATGTAGAGAACTTCCGCACAGACATGGGGGCCCCCACCCCTCCAAGAGGTCTTCTATTCCAGCCGCTCATCTGCTGTCTTTGGCCGGATCCACACACCCCACCACTGGGTGACCGCACACAGGCAGGAACTCCTCCTCCTAGCCAGCTCAGGAGAAAGCCCGTTTCGTCTGGGACAGCTCGGGCCTCCTCCTGGCCGCTGCTGGCCTCTGCAGCCCACTGGCTTCCCAAGCCGGTCTCAGAGCCCAGCAGCGGGGAGCTCTCAACCTGCTTTGCTCTGCACGTGAGCCGGCCGAGCGCTACTGCACACAATCGAAGGCCCACGAGGCCCTGGAGGACATCCGGGGCATGGACTTCTCCAGCACATTTTCCCTCTGAGAGCTTCACAGAGGGAAACCCAGCACAGAAGCGGAGAAGGAGGACACGCGGGGGCGGCAGCTCAGCTGGATGGAGACCCCCCGCCCTGGGCTGTGGGGCCCGCTGGGCTTTGAGCCTGAGCAGAGACGCTGAGGGAGACCACAGCAAGGTTAAAATCTGAGAGACGAGGGTGGAGGGAGAGCGGAAGGAACGCAGTTTGGCATGAAATAGGGGCCGTCAGAGAAGAGAGGACTTTGATGCAGGCTCCCCTCTTCCTGATGACATTCCCACGGAAATGCAGGAGCAGAGATCAGATTCCAATCGGCCTACACCTGATGGGTGTGGGGAAGGCCCGGGAAGACTCTCCCCCGAATTTGGGGCTTGTTAAATGGCAGCCATGAGGCAGATGGCTGGCCTAGCTTCTCAGTAAGTCCCATGCCACCACGGCCGGCCGTGGCTTCCAGCCGCAGGCCGGGATGACTGCAACAGCCCCGTCTCCGCTCCCCCGCAGCGGCCTTCTCTGGGTCCCCGATGGGGACCTGTCATTCCCACCTCACTCCCCAAGGCCCCGGTGTGCTCACTCTGCCGCTGCTGGTGACGGCCCCCACCCTTTTTCTCCCTGCTTCTCAAGGCTCTGGTCAAGTGGCAGCGACCCCACCACGCTTCCCCTGGCCACGGCAGCCTGCATGTCCCTCACCCCAAGATTTTATTCTGAAAAATTTCAAACCCACATTAACGTTGAGGGAGTGGCACGATGAATACCTATACAGCCTTCATCTAGACTCACCAATTAACATTTCACACTTGCTTTTCTATGATTATACATTTTTTTTTCCCATTTCAAAGCTAGAAGACTACATGGTACTTTATCCCTAAATACGTCAGCATAGATCCCCCAAGACCTTCGGGCTTCTATACAACCACAGTGATATCAGCACACCCGGGAGTTCATCTTTGACACAGAAAGATGACCTCATGCATGTCCCCACTCCACCCCCCCAACTGTCTATTGCTCTTCTACATGGCTGTGCTCCAACAGCCTCGGACCAGGTCCCACTGTGGAGCGCAGATTGCATTTACTCGGGCTCCTTGGTGTTCATTTGATCTAGAACCCCCACCCACGCTGGTCTCTCTGAACACCGGTGTGTTGGAGAGCTCAGGCCGGTCGTCTTTGTGGATGGCCTGCAAAGGACTTGTCTGTCTCTGCAAGATTAGATTCACATCAAGACTTTTAAGAGAGTATTACATAAGCGATGCTCATTTCTGGTTCCACTAGGTTCGATTACTCCTGGGAGTTCACAGCGGTACAAGCAGATTTCCCATTTGAATGAGCGGGTGATCTGGGGTGATATTTGAATCGTTCCTTCCACATCTAGCAGTGTGCAGTCTCTTGTAGAGAATGCTGTATTCTCCCTCTTCTGGAGTGGTGCCGTGAATGCATGAATTGTTTCCCCAATGCAATGCATTACAGTCCATTACCAACCATGACTTTTCTTTTTAATGTGTTTGTTTTGCTTTTTTAAGTTCATTTTTTTTTTTTTTTAGAAATCTCCATGCCCAACATGGGGCTCGAACTCAAGGATCCTGAGAGCAAGAGTTGCACAACTCCACTGAGCTGGCCAGGCATCCCTGTAATCATCACTTTTTTTTTTTTTAAAGATTTTATTTATTTATCAGAGAGAGAGAGCGAGCTTGAGCACAAGCAGGGGGAGTGGCAGGCAGAGGGAGAGGGAGAAGCAGACTCCCTGACGAGCAGGGAGCCCAAAGCAGGACTCCATCCCAGGACCCTGACTGAGATCATGACCTGAGCCGAAGGCGGATGCATCACCGACTGAGCCACCCAGGGCCCCCTCCTCATCATTTTTTAAAAACTGTTGGAGGTGCTGCATTTGGCTGGTAGGAGCTCCTGTTCAAGTGTCACCATCTGTCTTCGAGTGCATCCTTGCCTTCTGGACAACCAGATGCTCCCGGCTCACCTCGTACCTTCCCTGAGCCAGACCTGCAGTCGAACATTCCTGTGGGGAGCCCTGGTTCCTTCCAGCGGGACACATAACGTAGAGACAGGGTCTGGGTGCCGGGTGCTCCCTGCGGCCAGGCTGTTGCTCCTCCAGCCCCTTTGGTGAGCGGGATATTTGTGCAGGAAGGGCGAATTCCCATGGAAATCTCCAGTGTGACTGTGGCACGACAGGGTCCTTTCTCGTCCCCCCCAATTCTGTTACTTTAGCTTCTCTCTCCTACAGTGAGAACCAGGGTCCCACACAAAAGCAACGCGTTTGCTCGTTTGCCTGCTGCAGGATACAGGCCGGACGGTGGCGGGAACGCCGCAACGACTCATGAGGTGGGAGTCTCCCTGCAGTTCCTTTGGTCCTCAGACTGCGTCCCATCGCCTTCGTGCCCATCCATCTGCAACGCATGCAGGCTTCTTTTCTGATTTGCACCTGATTTGCACTTAATTTGGGGGTTTGCTTTTCTCAGACTTATTTATCTAATTTCATTGTTTGAACTTGCTATGCATTTATGCAGTTGAAAACTCAAAATGAAACTTTAAAAGAAGTACATTCAGGCGGCGCCTGGGTGGCTCAGTCGTTGAGCATCTGCCTTCGGCTCAGGTCACGGTCCCAGGGTCCTGGGATCGAGCCCCGCATCGGGCTCCCTGCTCCGCGGGAAGCCTGCTTCTCCCTCTCCCGCTCCCCCTGCTTGTGTTCCCTCTCTCGCTGTGTCTTTGTCAGAAAATAAATACAATCCTAAAAAAAAAAAAAAAAGAAGTACATTTAGAACTGTCCCTATATCCCGCCCTCCCACTCCTCCAAGGGAACATTTTCATTTGTCTTCAGCTTCCTTTCTGGATTTCTTCCTGGGAAGTTAAGCAAATACGCAGAAATATTCTTTTTCCTTTCTTGCTTACACGATAGGTAGTATGTCATGTATTCACACTTTGCCTTTCTCATTTAACCTATCCTAAAAGTGACTCTGCATCAGTTCACAGAAATCTGCCATTTCCTTGTCCTTTCGCTGGGCCCACACCCGGCGCCGGCGTCCCTCCCTCGACTCCGCTCCCCGTCACCTGCTAGAGGGCAAAGGTCTCAGCGTGTACTTTCCGGTAGGCTCTCCAGCAGCACGAGGCCCCCAAGAGCCACCCTGCAAACACAAGCCGAAGACGCCCTCCTCACTGTAGCCCGCAGGGTGCGTGATACAGCCCGGAAACGTCTGGTGCTTCCAGAGTGCAAAGTCACAACTGCCCACATATCCCTTCTGTTGGCCTATGGGCATGGGTGTGTGTGTATATATATTTTTTCAAATTAGTTAAAAATTGAAGATCAGGCAATTTCACATTAACAAGATAGAGGTTTCTGGTTTCTTGGAAACTGGTGGAGTTCAGCACCACTGTGCTTCTGATCTCACTCGGTGACCGTCGGCTGGTGGGAGCTCCTGCCCTCCCCATCCTTACTCCATCCCACTGGCAATGTGGAGCAGAGGAATAGCCTAGAATGTCCCTGGTTCCTGGATACCAGTTACTAAGTGCCTCCCACCTTCCAGGCAGGTGCTGCCCACCCGACATACACCATCCATGGAAACATCACGAAGTCTGGCCATGTGGGTAGCTCACCCCATACTCAGAGCGAACACAGGGGTTAAGTAAGTGGAGTTAGGATTCACCTGACTTCAAGGTCTGTGCCCCTAAAGGAAAAGTTATCTCACCTGTGGCCCTAGGAAGATCTAACTGGCCTTTAGTGAACCTTTCCTCCTATTTTCTTTTCCACACACACGCATACATGCACAGAGAACATGTGTACATGGGACAACACATGCGCACACACGACACATACATGTCACACGCGAGCTCACGGGACACACATTAGAGTGCACGTGCCCTGTAGGTCTGGAAAGATAACACGATAAACACAGGATTAGATCGCACACCATACGTGGGCTGACCAAGGTCTCCTGCGTTTGGGCAAAGTCACGTTCCCAGGCCCCTCCCCGAAGCCAGGAGCAACAGTAAACCAGGAAAGAGCTACCTGGCCAGGACCTTCGTTCTAGATAAAGTCCACACTTGCTGAACCCTGACCTGGTCTTACTGGTCTGGTCTCCCTTATCTCCCAGGGTGGAGGAGCTCGAAGCAGCCTCCCAGCACGCTAACTTCCCCAGGATCCCGCATCTGGGTGGAATGTTCCCCACGGTCGGAAGCTGGGGAATACTCCCAGGTCTGCACATCCCCACGGTGAAGGGAAGACACACACGTCCCCTTCGAGCTCGTGTCCTTGAAAACACTGGGACACAAGGGGTGCAGATCAAACATGAGCAGTGTGGATCAGAACCAGGGTGCAAAGTTAATGC